TGGATTTGGGATTGGGGTTGTTCCCTGCTGGATCCCAGGGATCTGCTGCTGCTTCTGGATTTGGGATTGGGGTTGTTCCCTGCTGGATCACAGGGATCTGCTCTTCCTGCCCCTGGATTTGGGATTGGGGTTGTTCCCTGCTGGATCACAGGGATCTGCTCTTCCTGCCCCTGGATTTGGGATTGGGGTTGTTTCTGTGCTGGATCCCAGGGATCTGCTGTTCCACCTCCTGGATCTGGGATTGGGGTTGTTCCCCTGCTGGAAATTGGGGGTGAGATTGGGGATATGGGATGGGATGGGTCCTGCTGCACCCAGAGCTGGTGAGCAAATCCCTGTTCCCATTGCTGGCCCCAAACCAGCCCTGGCATTGGCCTGGCCGTGGGATTGGCCTCTCCTGGTGCCAGCCAGGACACTGGGACAAATCCTGGGGAAATCCTGTCCTCCACAGAGGTGCTGGGCTCTCTGGGAGCAGCTTGTCCCTGGAAACCCTGGGAGGATCCCAGCCCTCCCCTGTGCCTGTTCCCGTTGGGATCTCTGCAGCCTGGGGCTGATTTTGGTGCTGACAAAGGCTCAGTTTATTTTTTAAGCTCGTCCCCAGCCCTTTGAAAGGCAGGATGTGACCTCGGAGCCTCCTGGCAGAGCACAGCCAATTGCTTCCTTTGTTTAACTCTCCTCTGCTGAATCCTCCCCAAATGGTTCCCAAATCCCTGAGCCAGCTGGGGGGTGGCTGTCACCCCTGGGAGCTGCAGGGACAAGGGAGTGTTTGCATCCAGGGCTGCTCCTGGATGCCAAAATCTGCTTTAAAGCCTCAATATAAGCAACACTCACAGCTCCCAAGGTTTTTCCAAACACTCACATCATCCATGGGGGTTTTTTTTGGGATCAGACTCGGGGTTGGGGATGCAGGGTCTGCTCCTGGGGCTCCCAAATCCCATCATGCTCAGAGGGATGAATTCCATCCCCTGAGAATTATCAGGAGGGATGAATTTCCATCCCCTGGGAATCTCTGGGCTCAGATGGGTGAATTTCCATCCCCTGGGAGTCTCCATGCTCAGGGGGATGAATTTCCATCCCTGGGAATCTCCAGGCTCAGAGGGATGAATTTCCATCCCCTGGGAGTCTCCATGCTCAGGGGGATGAATTTCCATCCCTGGGAATCTCTGGGCTCAGAGGGATGAATTTCCATCCCTCGGGAATCTCCATGCTCAGGGGGATGAATTTCCATCCTCTGGGAATCTCTGGGCTCAGATGGATGAATTTCCATCCCTCGGGAATCTCCATGCTCAGGGGGATGAATTTCCATCCCTGGGAATCTCTGGGCTTGGGGGGGGGGGGGGGTGAATTTCCATCCCTGGGAATCTCCAGGCTCAGAGGGATGAGTTTCCATCCCTGGGAATCTCCAGGCTCAGGGGGGTGAATTTCCATCCCTGGGAGTCTCCATGCTCAGATGTATGAATTTCCATCCCCTGGGAATCTCCATGCTCAGAGGGATGAATTTCCATCCCTGGGAATCTCCAGGCTCAGGAGGATGAATTTCCATCCCTGGGAATCTCTGGGCTCAGGTGGATGAATTTCCATCCCCTGGGAATCTCCGGGCTCAGAGGGATGAATTTCCATGCCCTGTGAATCTCCATCCTCAGAGGAATGCATTTCCATCCCTGGGAATCTCCATGCTCAGGGGGATTAATTTCCATCCCCTGGGAATCTCCGGGCTCAGATGGATGAATTTCCATCCCCTGGGAATCTCTGGGCTCAGAGATATGAATTTCCATCCCCTGGGAATCTCCATGCTCAGGTGGATGAATTTCCATCCCTGGGAATCTCCAGGTTCAGGGGGATGAGTTTCCATCCCCGGAATTGCCGGGCTCAGCCTCAGCCCGCCCCTAATGCCGGCGCCAGACGGGAGCTGAGCCCGGGGAGATTCCTCTGACCTGATTTAGCAGCGCCACAAAAGCTGCCTGCTCTGGGCTGCTGGCAGCAGGAGATGGGGTTTTGTGGAATTTTTGGGGTTTTTTTGGGGTTTTGAGGGTGGAAAGGGGTCCCTCCTGCTGTGGGATGCTGCCTGTGAGGTTGTGTTTGGGGTCCCCGCCATGCCCTGCGCTGTTCTCTGTGGAATGCTGGAATATCCTGAGTTTAAGGGACCCCCAAGGGTCATGAGGCTGACCCCAGACAGCCCCACAATCCCAGCCTGTTTCAGGGTGTTGTCCACACATTCCTGGAGCTCTGGGACTCACAGGGATCATCCATCCAACCCCAGGCCCTGCACAGACACCCCAAAATCCCCCCCTTGTCCCCTCTGTTGTCCAAACCCTCCTGGAGCTCTGGCAGCCTCAGGGCCATGCCCATTCCCTGGGCAGCTGGGAACCTTTCCCAAAATCCAGCTTGAGCCTCCCAGGCACAGCTCCAGCCCTTCCCTTGTCCTGTCCCTGTCCCAGACATCAAAGCTGCCTCTCCACTCCTCCTGTGAGGAGCTGCAGCCCCTGAGGAGTCTCCCCTGACTTTTCCAGCTGCATCCAGAGGTGGCTTTTCCTGAGGTTTCCACCTGGGCTCCTGGTGAGCTCAGGGAGGGTTTTCCTGCTCCATGCCCTGCAGGGAGCAGCTCCTGCATCCCTGTGTGTGCCTGGGATCCACGGGACAGCAATTCCAGCAGGGAATTGTGTGCAGACTGCAGGCAGGGAGATGAGGAAGGGATGGATAAAGGGATGGATAAAGGGATGGGAGGGATGGATAAAGGGATGAATAAAGGGATGGAGGGATGCCAGCAGTGAGGAGAGACCCCAGGGTTCCCCACCCAGTCCCCCCTGGCCGTCTGTTGCTGTCCTAGCAGACAGATCCCTGCTGCCTGCTACCTCAGGGCTGAGCAAAAGCTGCCTCAAATCCTTGTGAGATTTCCTCAAAATCCAAAGGAAACCTAATCCCAGCTTCATCCCTGGCTGTCTGCTGCTCCCCCAGGCTGGGCTGGAGCAGGACACAGCTCTGCATTCACTCCAGCCTGGCTGCTTGTTGTTGTTTTCCAGGTTGTTTTTAATTCCCTCCTCCTCCTCCTTCTCCTCCTCCCGCGGTTTTCCTGTTCTCCTGAGCTGCCCAGGGATGGATTTCTGCCTTTCCCAGCCCTCCTGGCCTGCTGGGGCCTGATCTCCTCCCTGTTATCAGTGCCCGGGGCAGGATGCAGTTGCCATGGCAATGGGAGATCCCGGCTGGAAGGGCGGGGATGGATCAGGGATGGTGGGGCCAGCAGGAGCAGGGGGGTCGTTGTTCCCCTGGATTTGTCACTGGTGAGGCCACCCCCCAATTTAGGAGGGGCTGGAGCATGTCCAGAGGAGGCAACGAGGCTGGTGAGGGGTCTGGAGCACAAACCCTGTGAGCAGCACCTGAGGGAGCTGGGGGTGCTCAGCCTGGGGAAAAGGAGACTCAGGGGTGCCCCCCTCACTCTCACAGCTCCTGAAAGGTGCCTGTGCTCAGCTGGGGCTGGGCTCTGTCTCCAGGAACTGACAGAACCAGAGCACACAGCCTGGAGCTGCACCAAGGGAAATTTAGGTTGGATATCAGGGAAAAGGTTTTTTCCAGAAAGGTGATAAAGTTCTGGAATGTTCTGCCCGGGGAGGTGGTGGGGTCACCATCCCTGGGGGTGTTTAACAAAGCCTGGATGTGGCTCTGGGTGCCAGGGTTTATTGAGGGGCTGGGGCTGGGTTGGACTCGATGATCTTGGAGGTCTCTTCCAGCCTGGTCATTCTGTTCTGTTCTCTGTGCTCACACCATTCCCACGAGGTCATTTCCTCTGCAGGGCTCAGCAGTGACACCAGGACAAGAGGACACAGCCTCCAGCTGTGCCAGGGGGAGTTTAGGCTGGGCATGAGGAAAAAACCCTTCACAGAAAGAGGGAGTGGGCACTGGAATGTGCTGCCAGGGAGGTGGGCACTGCCCTGAGGTGTTTAAACAAGGCTGGGTTGGCTCTGGGTGCCAGGGTTGAGGTGTTGGGGCTGGGTTGGGCTCTATGATCTTGGAGGTCCCTTCCAGCCCTGTAATTTTGTCATTCTGTGAATTCTGTGGATGCTCTGGGCTCTGGCTGAGCTGCTCTCAAAGGTTCCAGAGGAGCCTCTGCCCTTGGCTGGGCCCTGTCCCTGTCCGTGCCTTTCTTGGGGGATATTGGGATGCTCACATTGGGAGTATCAGTAAAAAACACTGCTGAGCCACAGGGAGAACCCTCAGGGTTTGTTAAAACCTGGGGCAGAGGTGCTGGGAATCACCTCACAGGGCTGGGAATGCTCTGGGGTTCCCAGGGGCAATTCATCATCTGGGATCTTCCAGAATTCCAGGAATGGTTTGGGCTGGCACTCCTCACAGGGCTGGGAATGCTCTGGGATTCCCAGGGGGAATTCATGATCTGGGATCTCCCAGAATTCCAGGAAGGGTTTGGGCTGGCACTCCTCACAGGGCTGGGAATGCTCTGGGATTCCCAGGGGAATTCATGATCTGGGATCTTCCAGAATTCCAGGAATGCTTTGGGCTGGCACTCCTCACAGGGCTGGGAATGCTCTGGGGTTCCCAGGGGGAATTCATGATCTGGGATCTCCCAGATCTGCTCCAGGTCAGGTTTCCTCCCAGGGCTTTTCCTGGGAATCCTGGGGCATGGAGGGCTCTGCCAGGCTGGGAATGCTCCTCTTGCTCCAGGCAGAGCTGTGGGACCAGCATGCAGGGCCTGGGGGTGAAGCTCCATAGCTGGGACCAGCTCTGGCTCCTTGGGAGTGGCACAAAACCCCTGGAATGGTCACAACACCTGGGTGTGGCCCTTGGGGACGCAGGTTTGGGGGGACACAGGTTTGGGGGGACACAGGTTTGGGCTCCATGATCCTGGAGGGCTTTTCCAGCCTGAAAGACTCCACAATTCCATGGTGGGAATTGCTCTGCTGTGCCTGAACACCTGGGCAGGTGGGGACAGGGGGCTGTGGCATTAACAGGGGCAGGGGACAGTGACATTAACCCTTTCCTTCCCTCTGCAGACACTACCCCAAGCAATCCTTCACCATGGTGGCAGACACGCCTGAGAACCTGCGCCTAAAGCAGCAGAGTGAGCTCCAGAGCCAGGTGAGCCCTGAAAATTCCCAAAATTCCCATGGGGAAAACCCACCCTGACCATTCCCTGTTCTGTTTCTGTCTCTGAGGGTTTTGTGTTTTGGGATTTCTCTGGTGCCCCTCAAATTCCCAAATTTCCCATGGGAAAAGCCCACCCTGACCCTTCCCATTGCATTTCTGTCTCTGAGGGTTCCATGGTTTGGGATTTCTCTGCATTCCCTCTCCAGAGGGGCCCTTCCAGCCCTGAAAATTCCATTATTTATTCTGTGCTTCCCAAATTCCCATGGGAAGAACCCACCCTGACCTTCCCCATTGCATTTTTGTCTCTGAGGGTTCCATGGTTTGGGATTTCTCTGCATTCCCTCTCCAGAGGGGCCCTTCCAGCCTTGGAATTGGCAACTCCAAGTCAATTGGAATTCCATGATTGACAATTCCATGATTCTCTGGCTGCTTCCCAAACCCCTCCCTCCTAAGTCCTACTGCAATGCACCTTTCATAATTCTACTTCTCCAAAGTATCTATAGTCTTAATTTAAAAAAAAAAACCTCCTTTAAAACTTATTTCTAATTTCATTCCTCTCTCAACAATATCCATCCTATTCCATAACATTCCCAAGTCAACATTTCTTATCTCAAATAAGAAATAAGCTTATCTCAAATAAGCTACAAACTTTGTAAACCTTCTGTCAAACTTTACAAATTTCCTACAAATCCATTTCCAAACCCCTTCCATGAGTTCCTGCTTTTTCTGGGAAGGGCAGAGCCTGTGGGACAGGCTGCTGGCCAGGCTTTGTCCCCTGCAGGTGGCCCTGGCTCAGCCATTCCCTGCTGGCTGTGGGCCCAGGGATTGTCCCTGTGGTGATCCCGGATTTCCTTCTGCCCCAGAACTCTGGGAAAAGGGATGGGAGCTTCAGTTTTGTAGGAAAACTGCTGGAAGTGCAGGAATGGGCACGGAGGGAGATGTGACCCTGTCTGGGGAAGGGGCTGAGGGAGATGGGGAAGGGGCTCAGCCTCTGGAAAAGGAGGATCAGGGAGGGTCCTTCCCAAAATCCCTAAAAATCCCTGGAAGGAGGCAGGTGGGGGTCAGGCTTTTCCCCAAATTGTCAGGGTGAGAGGAAATAGCCTCACCTTGTTCCAGGGAAGGTTTAGGGTGGAAATCAGGGAAAAACCATTCACTGGAAGGGTTGTCAGGCATTGCAAGGGGCAGTGCTGGGGTCACCATCCCTGGGAATGTCCCAAATCCAGCCTGGGGACGTGGGTTAATGGTGAACTGGGGCATGCTTGGACTCTGAGCTCACAGAGCTTTTCCAGCTGTGACAATTCCACGTTTCCCTGGGCTCTGGCTGTGCTGGAGCCTCCCCTGAGCCGTGCTGGGAGCTTTGATGTCAGCCCTGCTCACGAGCCGAGCTCACTGTGCTGGAAAAAATCCCATCCAAGGCAACCCTGTCTGCCAGGAGAGCTCCATGGGCAGCTGCCCTGCCATTCCTGCTCCCAATTCCCCTTTTTCCTTGGAAAAGGGGCCCTAGGACAGCCCAGGGTGCTGGCAGCAAGGCCTGCTCCCTCTCCTGGGCTGGGATTTTTCCCTGCTGGTTTCTGGGATTTTTTCCCTGCTATTTTCTGGGATTTTTTCCCTGCACGTTCCTGGGATTTTTTTCCCTGCTGTTTTCTGGGATTTCTCCCTTGCTGTTTCCTGGGATTTCTCCCTGCTATTTTCTGGGATTTTTTCCCTGCTGTTTCCTGGGAATTTTTTTCCCTGCTGTCTTCTGGAATTTCCCCTGCTGTTTTTTGGGATTTTTTTCTCTACTGTTTTCTGGATTTTTTTCTCTGCTGTTTTCTGAGATTCTCCCTGCTGGTTTTTGGGATTTTTCCCTGCTGTTTCCTGGGATTTTTTTTTTCCCTGCTGTTTTCTGGGATTTTCCCTGCTGTTTCCAGTCATTTTTTTGGGACTGGGATCAGATCCCTGCCTGCTGTGCTCTGAAGGATGCTGTGACCTTCTTCCTTCTCTTCCCATTAGCCTGAGAGTGCCAGGAGCTGAATCCTTGGGAATTCCTCTGGGAGGATGGGGGAGCCTCACCTGCAGGACCAGGGCCACCATGGGGTCCCCAAAGCTCAGCTTTTGTCCCCAAAGCTCAGCTTTTCCCCCAGCCCTGGCTCAGGCTCCGAGCTGAGCCCAGCCTGGGGCTGCATTTGTGTGCACGCAGCGATGACAGGGACAGGGGGGTGACAGGGACAAGGGGACACCGTGGCTTTTCCATGGCAACCACGGAGCTGCTGCTGCTGCTCTGGAGTCTCCAGGCTCTCCCTGGGTTGTTGCTGATGGAAGCAGAGCCAGGGGAGGGGGGTGAGCTCTGCCTGGGCTCTCCTGAGCCTGGGGGGGACTCGCAGCCCCTCACACTGGGTGGGGCACGGCCCTGAAGGGAAGGGAGTTCCTGTTCCATGGGTTGGTGACCACAGCTCAGCCCCTGTGCCATGTGCCCTGTGCCAGCTGTGCCCAGCTCCTGGGGCCTGCCAGGCTCGGGGACACTGGGGGGACAGGGATGGGACACTGGGCACCTGCAGGGATGGGGTGGCAGGGATGGAGCTGGGGTGGGAGTGACAGGGATGGGGTGGGGGTGACAGGGATGGGGTGACAGGGACAGGATCCTGGACACCCACAGGGATGGGGTGACAGGGATGGGGTGGGGGTGACAGGAATGGGGTGCTGGGATGGAGCTGGGGTGCGGTGACAGGGATGGGGTGACAGGGATGGGACACTGGGCACCTGCAGGGATGGGGTGGCAGGGACAGGATCCTGGACTCTCACAGGGATGGGGTGACAGGGATGGAGCTGGGGTGGGGTGACAGGGATGGGGTGGGGGTGACAGGGATGGAGCTGGGGTGCGGTGACAAGGATGGGGTGACAGGGATGGAGCTGGGGTGGGGTAACAGGAATGGGGTGACAGGGATGGTGTGGGGGTGACAGGGATGGGGTGACAGGGATGGAGCTGGGGTGGGGGTGACAGGAATGGGGTGCTGGGATGGGGTGGGGGTGACAGGAATGGGGTGGGGGTGACAGGAATGGGGTGCTGGGATGGGGTGCAGGTGACAGGGATGGGGTGGGGGTGACAGGGATGGGGTGACAGGGATGGAGCTGGGGTGGGGGTGACAGGGATGGGGTGGGGGTGACAGGGATGGGGTGCTGGGATGGGGTGGGGGTGACAGGGATGGGGTGCTGGGATGGGGTGGGGGTGACAGGGATGGGGTGCTGGGATGGAGCTGGGGTGGGGTAACAGGAATGGGGTGACAGGGATGGGGTGGGGGTGACAGGGATGGGGTGCTGGGATGGAGCTGGGGTGGCTCAGGAGTGGAAGAGCCTCCTGCAGGGCAGGGCCAGGGCCTCCTCAGGGTCACATTCCCAGCAGGATGAGCTGCAGAGGGGATTCTGTGGGTGCTGGGCAGGGAACAGCTCTGGGGGTGGGAGAGACCCTGCAGAGGGGCTGGGAGGGGTGGGATACAGAAAGGGTGGGGTACAGGAGGTTTGGGATGCAGGAGGAGTGGGATATCAGAGGTTTGGGATGTAGGAGGAGTGGGATATCAGAGATTTGGGATGTAGGAGGAGTGGGATATCAGAAATTTGGGATGCAGGAGGAGTGGGATATCAGAGGTTTGGGATGTAGGAGGAGTGGGATATCACAGGTTTGGGATGTAGGAGGTTTGGGGTAATGAATGGGGGGATATCAGAGGTTTGGGAGCCAGGAGGGAGGGGGGGATGCAGGAGGTTTGGGATGTAGGAGGTTTGGAATAACAAATGTGGGGATATCAGAGGTTTGGGATATCAGAGCTTATGGGGTAGGGTGACAAGGATGAGGAGCTGGGTGGGGGTGACAGGGATGGGGTGACAAGGATGAGGAGCTGGGTGGGGGTGACAGGGATGGGGTGACAAGGACGAGGAGCTGGGTGGGGGTGACAGGGATGGGGTGACAAGGATGAGGAGCTGGGTGGGGGTGACAGGGATGGGGTGCTCACCACCCACAGGGATGGGATGACAATAATGGGACAATGTGCTGGGCACCTGCAGGGATGGGGTGGCAGGGATGGGACCCTGGGCACCTGCAAGGGGGGATTGAACAGGATGGGGTGACGAGGACAATGAACTGCAGGGATGGGTGACAGGGACAGGGAGTCGGGCATGGAGTGACAGGGATGGGGTGACAAGGACAATGAGCTGCAGGGATGGGTGCCAGGACAGGGGGTGGCAGGGCCAGGCCACAGCAGTTCCCTGTCACTCCTCCGTCCCCTCTATTTGTGTCCCCAGGAGGCGCCTCCCGTTCCGCTCACGGGAAGCTGCTGGATAATGATGTCCTGTCAGGCCAAAAGTGTCCCCAAAGTGCCACCCTGGTGCCCACAGGCTGCTTCTCCCAGCCCACGTGTGGCAGGGAAATTGCAGGTTCCCATCCTGGGGCTCCTTTTCTGAGCTTTTCCTGGGGGGAGTTTGGGCACAGCCCTTCCTGCCCGAGGGTCCTGTGTGGGGGTGGCAGTGCCACTCCTGTCCTGCTGTGCCCCTCTGGGAGCACTGTCACCCCAGTGCTGGTGGCAAAAAGGGGAGGGTTTGATGTGTGAAGGGTTTTTAGTGTTTGATGTGTGAAGGGTTTTTTGAAGGTTTTTTTTTCTGGCTTCCTTTGATAACTCATGGATGCACTCGGAGTCACGGCATGGAGGGAGCAGCTCCCCACAGGAAAATTAATTGTGGGGTTCATTAATTTGTTAAATTATTCTCATCATCGTCATGGGGATGCTGCCAGGGTTTTTTTTAGGGCTGAATTCTTGTGTCCTGAACATCAGCAGGGTGAAAAACCAAAGGAGATGGAGCAGGGTGGGATTTAGGAGGGTAAAACCACAGGATTTATCAGAGGATCTGCCCTCCCTTGGGATTGGCTTCTTCCTCAGTGATTCCTTGTCTTTCCTGCCTGGAATTCTCAGGGATGTTGAGGGAGGCTCAGGGATGTTTAGAGATGTTAAGGGAGGCTCAGAGATGTTTAGGAATGTTCAGGGAGCCTCAGGGATGCTCAGGAATGTTCCAGGAATGCTCAGGAATTCACCGGGGATGTTCAGGAATGCACTGGGAGGCTCAAGAATGAACAGGGATGCTCAGGGATGTGCAGAGATTCACTGGGGATATTGAGGGGTGCTCAGGAATGTTCAGGGATGCTCAGGGAGACTCAGGAATGCTCAGGGATGCTCAGGAATGTTCAGGGATGCACGGGGATGTGCAGAGATTCTCTGGAGATGCTCAGAGATGCACTGGGAGGCTCAGGGATGAACAGGGATGAGCAGAGATTCACTGGGGATGCTCAGGGGTGCACTGGGATGTGCGGGGATGCATTGGGAGGCTCAGGAGTGCTCAGGGATGCACTGGGATGCTCAAGGATGGACAGGGTTGCTCAGGGATGTTGAGGGATGCATTGGGAGGCTCAGGGATGCACTGGGATGCTCAAGGATGGACAGGGTTGCTCAGGGATGTTGAGGGATGCTTTGGGAGGCTCAGGGATGCACTGGGATGCTCAAGGATGGACAGAGTTGCTCAGGGATGTTGAGGGATGCTTTGGGAGGCTCAGGGATGCATTGGGAGGCTCAGGGATGTTGAGGGATGCACTGGGATGCTGAAGGATGCACTGGGTTGCTCAGGGATGCATTGGGAGGCTCAGGAGTGCTCAGGGATGCACTGGGATGCTCAAGGATGGACAGGGTTGCTCAGGGATGTTGAGGGATGCTTTGGGAGGCTCAGGGATGCACTGGGATGCTCAAGGATGGACAGGGTTGCTCAGGGATGTTGAGGGATGCTTTGGGAGGCTCAGGGATGCATTGGGAGGCTCAGGGATGTTGAGGGATGCACTGGGATGCTGAAGGATGCACTGGGTTGCTCAGGGATGCATTGGGAGGCTCAGGAGTGCTCAGGGATGCACTGGGATGCTCAAGGATGGACAGGCTTGCTCAGGGATGTTGAGGGATGCTTTGGGAGGCTCAGGGATGCATTGGGAGGCTCAGGGATGCTCAGGGGTGCCCCTGGGCGAGGCAGGAGCCCTAGCAGGAGCTGCAGCCCTGGGTGTCAGCCTGGGGCTGGGCCCTGTCCCTGCTCTCCCCCCTGCTCAAACCCCTTCATCTTCCTGCGCCCCCAGATCCGCTACAAGGAGGAGTTCGAGAAGAACAAAGGGAAGGGTTTCAGCGTGGTGGCCGACACCCCCGAGCTGCAGAGGATCAAGAAGACTCAGGATCAGATCAGCAACGTGAGTGGCCGCTGTGACACCGCTGTGACACCGCTGTGACACCGCTGTGACACCGCTGTGACCTGCAGGGGCAGCGGGGAGGGCGCAGCTGCTGCAAACAGTGCCGGGCTCAGCGGTTCCTGCAGCCCCGGCACGAATCGGCCTCTGTGAGGAGGAGAGGAGGGGGCGGTTCAGTGATCAGAGTCGGGGGGTATAAATGGGTATAGTGATTGGGCATTAATAGTGATTTTTAGGGAGATTTCATAGCGATTTTAGGGAGATTTCATAGTAATTTTAGGGAGACTATTCATTATTCAATAGTCATTTTAGGGAGACTTTACTATTAAGTCTCCCTAAAATTACTATGAAATTTCCCTAAAAGAATAGTAATTTTTACTATTATTTTAGGGAGATTTCATAGTAATTTTAGGGAGACTATTCATTATTTAATAGTCATTTTAAGGAAATTTCATAGCAATTTTAGGGAGGTTTCATAGCAATTTTAGGGAGATTTCATAGCAATTTTAGGGAGATTTCATAGTAATTTTAGGGAGACTATGCATTATTTAATAGTCATTTTAGGGAGACTATGCATTATTTAATAGTCATTTTAGGGAGACTTTACTATTAAGTCTCCCTAAAATTACTATGAAATTTCCCTAAAATTACTATTATTTTAGGGAAATTTCATAGTAATTTTAGGGAGACTATTCATTACTTAATAGTAATTTTAGGGAAATTTCATAGTAATTTTAGGGAGACTATTCATTATTTAATAGTAATTTTAAGGAGATTTCATAGTAATTTTAGGGAGATTTCATAGCAATTTTAGGGAAATTTTATAGTAATTCCAGGGAAATTTCATAGTCATTTTAGGGACACTATTCATTATTTGTCATTTTAGGGAGACTATTCACTACTTAATAGTCATTTTAGGGACACTTCTAATTACTTAATAATAATTTTAGGGAGACCATTAATTACTTATTAGTCATTTTAGGAAGACTAGTAATGTTTACTACAGTGATTAGGTTAAAATCACACACACAAACTGATGCATGTAACAACATCTCTTGCTTGCAGGGCTTAATGAGGTTTCCTGGTAAACCTGTCTGATTTAATATTCCTGCAATCCAGGTCTGATTTGCAAAGTTCCATTTCTTTTTGCCAAGGGTATCAAAATGATCAAATCTCCTGATCAAATCTCTTGATCAAATCTCTTACAGGGGTGCTCAGGGATAGACAGGGGTGCTCAGGGAGGCTCTGGGATGTTCAGGGATGCTCAGGGAGGCTCTGGGATGTTCAGGGATGCTCAGGGAGGCTCTGGGATGGACAGGGAGGCTCAGGAATACTCAGGGATGGGCAGGGATAGACAGGGATGGTCAGGAATGCTCTGAGGTGCTCAGGGATGTTCAGGAATGCTCAGGGAGGCTCTGGGATGGACAGGGAGGCTCAGGGATGGGCAGGGATAGACAGGGATGCTCTGAGGTGCTCAGGAAGGCTCTGGGATGCTCAGGAATGCTCTGAGGTGCTCTGGGATGGACAGGGAGGCTCAGGGAGGCTCTGGGATGGACAGGGAGGCTCAGGGAAGCTCTGGGATGGACAGGGAGGCTCAGGAATGCTCAGGGAAGCTCTGGGATGGACAGGGAGGCTCTGGGATGTTCAGGAATGCTCAGGGAGGCTCTGGGATGTTCAGGAATGCTCAGGGAAGCTCTGGGATGGACAGGGAGGCTCAGGAATGCTCAGGGAGATGGTCCCAGGAGAATGGAAGGGGTTTGCAATGCAGGGAGATGGTGCCCACGGCAGGAGCTCACACAAAAACCACCCAGTGGGATTTTTATTCCCCCTTTTTCTGCTCCCATTTGTGCATCCCCAGGGTGTGATGGATTCACCAAACCCCAGGCAGGGAATGGGATCCAAGCTGGAAGATTCTCCCTGGGGCAGCTCTGAGCCGGCAGCTTCACCAGGGCTGGGTTTGGGGACATGAAATGACAGCACAGAGCTGCCCTGGGCCCAGCCCCGGTGGCCCTGCCCTGCCCCTCACCCTCTGCCAGCGTTTCCAGCAGCTCCCGTGCCTGGCTGCCAGCCCGGGTGGCCCTGACCCACTTAGGGAGCCACAGCCACCAGCGCTGTCCCCAGGGCCAGGGGAGGTGGGGCCAGCCCGGCCCTGCCCCAAAACGGCCTCGGGGTGGGGACAGGTGGGGAAAACCCCGCTGGGAATGGGGCTGGGGCTGCTCCTGAGCCCAGCCTGGGGCTGGGGCTGCTCCTGGGGCATGGCCTGAGCCCATCCTGGGGCTGGGGCTGCTCCTGTTTCTGCTCCTGGGGCTGTTCCTGAGCCCAGCCTGGGGCTGCTCCTGTTCCTGCTCCTGGGGCTGTTTCTGCTCCTGGGGCTGCTCCTGCTCCTGGGGCTGTTTCTGCTCCTGGGGCATGGCCTGAGCCCATCCTGGGGCTGGGGCTGCTCCTGGGGCTGGGGCTGCTCCTGGGGCTGTTCCTGAGCCCATCCTGGGGCTGCTCCTGAGCCCATCCTGGGGCTGCTCCTGAGCCCATCCTGCTCCTGTTCCTGCTCCTGTTCTTGCGCCTGGGGCATGGCCTGAGCCCATCCTGGGGCTGCTCCTGCTCCTGGGGTTGTTCCTGAGCCCATCCTGGGGCTGCTCCTGGGGCTGCTCCTGGGGTTCTTCCTGGGGCTGTTCCTGAGCCCATCCTGGGGCTGCTCCTGCTCCTGTTCTTGCTCCTGGGGCTGTTCCTGAGCCTGTTCCTATTCTTGTTCCTGGAGTTGTCCCTGCTCCTGAGGCTGTTCCTCATCCTGAACCTGGATGCTCCTGGGGCTGTTCCTGAGCCCATCCTGGAGCTGCTCCTGGGGGCTGTCCCTGCTCCTGGGGGGTTGTTCCTGATCCTCAACCTGTCCTGGGGGCTGTTCCTGCTCCTGTCCTTGTTCCTGGGGCTGTCCCTGCTCCTGAACCTGTCCTGGGGCTCTTCCTGAGGCTGTTTTGGGGCTGTTCCTGTTCCTGAGCCCATCCTGAGGGCTGTCCCTGTTCCCAGATCTGTCCCAGGGCTGTCCCTGGGGCTGATCCTGATTGTTCCCAAGGCTCTTCCTGGTGCTGTCCCTTATCCCTTATCTGTCCCTGGGCTGTCCCAGCCTCCCAGGGCTGCCCTGGGGTTCTCTCTGCTCCAGCCATGCCCAGCTCCCAGTGCCCTCCAGTCCATCACTGTTTAACCAGGGCACATTGCCAGGCTCCAGCTGCTTCCCGGTGGGAATGCACTCATTAACAGCAAGGAGTTAATTGGTAATTTTTACCCTCACACCCCCGTGGTTGGGTTAACCCTTCCCTCCTGTGTCCCCCTGGCACTGGGGGTTGCACACCAGAATTCCCAAAGGGGATTTTGCTCCGTGTTCCCCTGGTTTGGGAGGTGCATCTGGGGCTCAATCTCATCCTGAAACAATTCCTCTCAGTTCCTCACCCCACCCACAGGGCACAGAAAGCTCCTCCTGTCCTGTCCTGTCCCGTGTGTGCCTGGAGCTGCTCTGAGCAGAGGGGGAGTGGGGAAGGAGCCTCTGGGGTTTGCTGGGGTGGCAAAAAGAGCTGAGCTGGGATGAGGGGAAGGATCCAGAATCCTTCAGGCTGGAAAAGCCATCGAGTCCAGCATTAACCAGCAGCCCATGGGCTTTCAACCCTTCCAGGGACGGTGACTCCCTTTTCTGAAGGAATTCTCCCTCATTTCCAATCCAAACCTGCCCCGAGGCCATTTCCCTGTCCCAGCCCCTTTTCCCTGGAGCAGCTGCTGCAGCAGGGCCGGGCTCTGAGCTGTGCCCCCCTCCCTGCAGATCAAGTACCACGAGGAGTTCGAGCGGAGCCGGATGGGGCCCAGCCCCAGCGAGGGCTCGGAGCCGGAGCGCCGGAATTCCCCGGAGAGCGGCGCCTACCGGAGAGCAGAGCAGCAGCAGCAGCAGCAGCACGGCCAGCCCGGAGCCACAGGTGGGGTGGGCACAGCCCCGGGGCTCCTCGGCATCCCCCGCACCCCAAAATCCCAGTGCAGGATCCATCCTTCCCTCCAAATCCCAGTGCAGGATCCACCCAAATCCCAGTGCATGGATCCACTCAAATCCCAGTGCAGGATCCACTCAAATCCCAGTGCAGGATCCACTCAAATCCCAGTGCAGGATCCACTCACATCCCAGTGCATGGATCCACTCACATCCCAGTGTAGGATCCACTCACATCCCAGTGCATGGATCCACTCACATCCCAGTGCATGGATCCACTCACATCCCAGTGCATGGATCCAGCCAAAGCCCAGTGCATGGATCCACTCACATCCCAGTGCAGGATCCGTCCTTCCCTCCAAATCCCCGTGCATGGATCCACCCAAATCCCAGTGCATGGATCCACCCACATCCCAGTTCATGGGTCCACTCACATCCCAGTGTAGGATCCACTCACATCCCAGGGCAGGATCTGTCCTTCCCTCCAAACCCCAGTGCATGGATCCACTCACATCCCAGGGCAGGATCCATCCTTCCCTCCACATCCCAGTGCAGGATTCTTCCAAATCCCAGTTCATGGATCCACTCATATCCCATGGTAGGATCCACTCAAACCCCAGTGCAGGATCCACTCACATCCCAGTGCATGGATCCAGCCAAATCCCAGTGCAGGATCCATCCTTCCCTCCAAATCCCAGTGCATGGATCCACTCAAATCCCAGTGCATGGATCCAGCCAAACCCCAGTGCAGGATCCGTCCTTCCCTCCAAATCCCAGTCCATGGATCCACTCACATCCCAGTCCATGGATCCACTCACATCCCAGTGCATGATCCATCCTTCCTTCCAAATCCCAGTGCAGGATTCTTCCAAATCCCAGTTCATGGATCCACCCAAATCTCAGTGCAGGATCCACTCAAATCCCAGTGCAGGATCCCCATTCCCTCCCCATCCCAGTTCACCCCCTGTTCCTCCCCATCCCAGTTCACCCCCTGTCCCTCCCCATCCCAGTTCACCCCTGTCCCTCCCCAGTTTACCAGCAGCAGCAGCAGCAGCCGCCTCCATCCCAGTCCTACGGCTACAAGGAGCCAACTCCGGCCTCCTCACAGCGCAACGCCCCGGCCGGAGGGGGGGTGAGTTCAGCCCAGAGCCCAAATCCCCCACCCTGGGGATCCCAGGGTTCCCTCAGGCCCCCAGTTCCCACCCTGGGAGTCCCTCTGCTCCCTCAGCCCCAGGAGAAGCCGTTTTGGGGGGTGTTGGATGCTCGGTTTTGGGGGGTGCTGGATGCTCAGTTTTGGGGAGCTTGGATGCTCATTTTTTGGGGGGTTTGGATGCTCGATTTGGGCGGGGTTGGATGCTCAGTTTGGGGGCTTAGATGCTCAGTTTTTCGGGGTTTGGATGCTCGGTTTGGGGGGTTGGATACTCATTTTTGGGGGGTTGGATGCTCGGTTTGGGGGGGTGTTGGATGCTCAGTTTTGGGGAGCTTGGATGCTCGTTTTTGGGGGGTTGGATGCTCAGTTTTTGGGGGTGTTGGATGCTTGGTTTGGGGGGTGTTGGATGCTCGTTTTTGGGGGGGTTGGATGCTCAGTTTTGGGGGGTGTTGGATGCTCGTTTTTGGGGGTGTTGGATGCTCATTTTTTGGGGGTTGTTGGATGCTCAGTTTGGGGGCTTAGATGCTCAGTTTTTGGGGGGTTGGATGCTCGTTTTTGGGGGGGTTGGATGCTCAGTTTTGGGGGGTGTTGGATGCTTGGTTTTGGGGGTTTGGATGCTCGTTTTTGAGGGCGTTGGATGCTCAGTTTTGGGCACTGAGACCCGCCCAGATCCAGCTCCCAGCTTGTCCCTGGAGAGGGGCTGTGACCCCTCTGTCCCCAGGGAGGGGCTGTGCCAGTGTCCCCTGTGTCCCCTGGGGCTGTTCCCTGTCCCCTGGGCCTTTCCCCTGTCCCCTGGCGCTATGACAATGACCCACCCCCGTGTCCTCCGGCGCTGTGACAATGACCCCGCTGCCCCCTGGGGCTGTGACCATGTCCCCGTGTCCCCACAGAAGCGTTTCCGTGCCGTCTATGACTACAACGCGGCGGACGAGGACGAGGTGTCCTTCCAGGACGGGGACACCATCATCAACGTGCAGCAGATCGATGACGGCTGGATGTACGGCACGGTGGAGCGCACGGGGGACACGGGCATGCTCCCGGCCAACTACGTGGAGGCCATCTGAGCCCTGCCCCGTGTCCCCTCCCCGTGGGTGCGGCTCTTGTCCCCTCCCCGCCCGCTCCGCCCCTCCGAGCCGCGTCCCCGTGTCCCCATGCGGGGTGGGGATCAAAGCTCCCAGGGCGTTTGTCCCCCTGTCCTTCCTGTCCTGCCCTCCCGGTGAGGGGAGCCTCTGGAGCCACCGGGATGCCAGGAAAAGGGAGGGAGAGGCCAAATTCAGGACCAAATTCCCACTGTGGGGCGAGGGAAGCAAGGGGGGCTTGGGGTGGGCTGGCAGCTCTGGCTCATCCTGCTCCTGGCTGCCCTCAATCCTCACTCCCTTCAGTGCCCAGAGCAGGAAAGTTTGGAGCTCAAATCTCCAACAAAATCTCTCTGCTCTGGCTGCTCCTGCCTCGGCCTGGGCTGTCCTGAGCCCTCCGGAGCAGGAGCAGCCCTGGGGCTTGTCCTGGCTGGAGGCCTGGGCTGGGATGAGGCCTCTGGAGCTGGGATGAGCCCCCCAGATTGGGATGAGCCCCACAGACTGGGATGAGCCCCCCAGACTGGGATGAGCCCCCCAGACTGGGATCAGCCCCCCCAGATTGGGATCAGCCCCCCAGATTGGGATCAGCCCCCCCAGATTGGGATCAGCCCCCCCAGATTGGGATCAGCCCCCCCAGACTGGGATCAGCCCCCCCAGACTGGGATCAGCTCACTCTGGGGTCCCCTGGGGGAGCCTTTTCTCCCCACCCAGAATTTTCCTGCTTTTCTCCTCCTCCTGCTGCTGCTGAGTGCTGCCACCCCTGTGGGCCCATCCCGGGTCATTGTCCCCTTGGTGCTGTGACACCCCCAGCCAGCCCACAGCTCTCATTCCCAGTGCTGGTGGCAGCTTTTTGGGACCACTTTGGGATCATGTCATGGACCAAAACATCAAAGCACATCCCTGTCCCCTTCTCCTCCAGAGCTCCTGGGGAGGATCAGGGCCGGGTTAAACTGGAACTGGGCAGGGAGGGAGGAGCAGGAACCTCTGCAGGGTCCCCGTGCCAGGACCTGGGGACAATGGGGTTCCAGGGGACAGTGGGGTTGTCCCCCAGCCGGGAGGCTCCCAGGGGGAAGCTCCACTTTTGTTATTTCCACAGGAAAATCGGGAATAAGGGACCAAAGCAGGCAAGTGAGACATTCCTTGGTCCTGCTGGGGACACCTCCCTTCCTCGGGGGCTGGGACTGGGGCAGAGTCACGCTGGGAAAAGGGAATTGTGGCTGCAGTGGGCTGGGGACAGGGATTTGGGGTGACAGAGGGGCAGGAGCAGCCAGGATGGGCTGCCTGGGCTGGGAATCCCGGCTGGTGCTAAAACAGGGAGCACAAGGGCAGGGGGAGCCTCCTCTCCCTGCTGAATCCTCTTCTTAATCACGTTCTTGTCTGGGAATGGGGGAGGGAGCCTCAATGTGAATAAACCCTTTTTTAATGGACCAAATAACACAGGAAATTCCCTTTTGGGATACAGATCTTTTTTTTAATCCTCCCTCAAAATCATTGTCCCTAAATTCTCCCCTCCCATGCTCCTTTCACCCCCGCCATGGGAAACAAAACCTCTTACTGCTTGATTTCTGCCTTTTCTCTCAACTTTATGCACTTTTTTGCCTTTTTTTTTCATAGCTGAAAAGCACCTAAACCTGTATTTAAAATAAATAAATAAATAAATGAGTTAAAAAAAAAAAAAGAAATTACAAGGAAGAAGAACAATTAAAAAGCTGAGTAATTGCTTCTCATCACGTGTAAAATAGACCTTGTCCATCCCAGCTTCCCTGGTTGTGTCTCAGTGCTGAGCTTAGAACGTGTTTTCCTTGGGATCTGTTGCTTAATTGGGGTTTTGTCCTTGTGTCCTCCTTCCTGGGTTGAGCACCCACCAGGAAAAAAAAAACAAAAATTTTTACAAAATTATTTGGCCTTTTTATCCAAAAGAAAGAAAACCCACGGAATGGAACAACCCGACCATCGATTCTCTTGCTGGTTTACTCGGAATTGAAAATAAAAGTTTAATTTTTACCTGCTGATCGTGCTGGCTTTGATTGTGGCCGCTTTTCCAGCCGTTTTTCCTGTTTGGTTGGGACAAGGGGAGGCTTCCAGAACTGGGGTTTGGGGCACACCTGGGGATCCTCCTGGGCTGCAGCTCCTCAGCTCATCCCCTGCCTTTGGATGCTTGGGAGCCCCACCTCAGCCCAGGGCTTTCCCTGGAGCCCTGGGAACGCAGGTGGGATTTCCAGCGGGGTTTAATGAACATCTGGCGGGTGTCTGGGGAGGGATGGTGTTGATCAGCAGCTCAAAAAAGCGAGGAAAACAAAGCAGTGGTGCCGGGGGAGGCAAAGGGCGGCGCTGGGGCACCCCAGCAGCACCAACCAAGGTGACTTCAGGGTGGGGACCGCGCTCATTTTCTCATTTTTCCTCCTTTCCCCAAAGGATGGGGTTGGGGGCACATCCCCGTGGGCATCCCCTGAAACACTTTGGGGAGGAAGGAGCAGGGACAGAACAACCCCAGCGGGGACAGAACAACCCCAGCGGGGACAGAACAACCCCAGCGGGGACAGAACAACCCCCATAGGGACAGAACAACCCCCATGGGACAGAACAACCCCTGAGAGGACAGAACAACACCCGCGGGACAGAAAAACACCTGCGGGACAGAACAGCCCCCATGGGGACAGAACAACCCCAGCGGGGACAGAACAACACCCATGGGGACAGAACAACACCCGAGGGGACAGAACAACCCCTATGGGACAGAACAACACCCATGGGGACAGAACAACCCCAGCAGAGACAGAACAACCCCAGCGGGGACAAAGCAACCCCAGCGGGGACAGAACAACCCCCATGGGGACAGAACAACCCCAGCAGGGGCAGAACAACACCTGCAGGACTGAACAACCCCCATGGGACAGAACAACACCCATGGGGACAGAGCAACACCCGAAGGGACAGAACAACACCCAAGGGGACAGAACAACCCCCATGGGACAGAACAACACCCATGGGGACAGAGCAACACCCGAAGGGACACAACAACCCCCGCGGGACAGAACAACCCCCATGGGGACAGACGGCCCCGGGCGCCAGGGCCGGGCCGAGCCCGGCTGCCCGCCGGGGTTTATCCCCTGATCTCCCGCAGGAAAAGCGGCTCCATCAGCTCCGGCATCGTCTCTGCATCCTGAGCGGAGCGGGGAGGGGAGGACGCGGGGGCGGCTCTGCCCAGCAGCGCTGCCCGGAGCCCCGCAGCCCCGGCCGCCTCCTCCTCCTCCCTCCCTCCCTCACCATGCTGGACATTTTCATCCTGATGTTTTTCGCCATCATCGGCCTGGTGGTCCTGTCCTACATCATTTACATGCTCTAAGGAGCCGCCGCCGCCGAGGATGCGGCTGAGCAGCGGCCTCGCCCCCCGAGCGGCGGCCAGGTGAGCTCCGAGCCCCTCCAGGTGCGAGTTTCAGGGGAGGATTGTGCCGGGAGGGGAGCAGGGGGCACTTTAGGGGTCGGTGCTGTTGGATTTGGCCGCCTGGGCTGGGAGGGGGCACCGGGGGTGATTTTCCAATCCAGGCCGCTCAGCCCCGGGCGCTGCGCAGCTGCCGCCGGGTTTATTGGAAAAGCCGCTCCTGCAGCTCGGCCCGGTGGCTTTTGTTCCGAGCGGGGGGAAATGGAGCAGCTCGGGGAGAAACCGGGCGGGATCCCGGCTGCGTCATCCTCAGGAGCCAGAGGAGCCTCCCGGGGCCGGGGGCGGCTGCTCCCGCACGGAGCTGCTCCATCCATCCCCTGTTCTCCCGCACGGAGCTGCTCCATCCCTCCCCTGTTCTCCCGCACGGAGCTGCTCCATCCATCCCCTGTTCTCCCGCACGGAGCTGCTCCATCCCTCCCCTGTTCTGTCACACGGAGCTGCTCCATCCCTCCCCTGTTCTGTCACACGGAGCTGCTCCTTCCCTCCCCTGTTCTGTCACACGGAGCTGCTCCATCCCCTGTTCTGTCACACGGAGCTGCTCCATCCCTCCCCTGTTCTCCCGCACGGAGCTGCTCCATCCCCGGTTCTCCCGCAGCTCCAGGCCCGGCTCTCTCACACCGGCCTCTCCTTTCTCCTTCTCTCCCGCAGCCTCCGCCCGGTGCGCGTCTCTCGGAGCCTTCTGGAACAGCGTTAACCTCTGCGAGCCCGGCGCGGAGCACGGAGCGGTCATGGAGCCAGGAACGGGAATGGGGGGACACGGGAGGGGGCTCCGAGGGGCTGTCCCGCCGCCGGGACCCGGCTAAACCCCCTGCCAGGACCTGTGTCCTTCACCCTGCCAGGACCCGTGTCCTTCACCCTGCCAGGACCGTGTCCTTCACCCTGCCAGGACCCGTGTCCTTCACCCTGCCAGGACCTGTGTCCTTCACCCTGCCAGGACCCGGCTAAACCCCCTGCCAGGACCGTGTTCTTCACCCTGCCAGGACCTGTGTCCTTCACCCTGCCAGGACCCGTGTCCTTCACCCTGCCAGGACCGTGTCCTTCACCCTGCCAGGACCCGTGTCCTTCACCCTGCCAGGACCGTGTCCTTCACCCTGCCAGGACCCGGCTAAACCCCCTGCCAGGACCCGTGTCCTTCACCCTGCCAGGACCGTGTCCTTTACTCTGCCAGGACCTGTGTCCTTCACCCTGCCAGGACCTGGGATGCTCCCGGTGACGCACGCAGTGTCCCCAGGGGGGTGGGAAGGGTCCTGTCCCCCCCTTGTGTCCCCTCGGTCCGAGGCCGCTCGTCTGGGTTTCATTTTTAGGGAGTGGCTTCTATTTTTGCTGAGCGATGTTCAGGGAGTGGAATAAAGAGGAATGACACGGGAATGGCTCTGGTGTCACTGCAGGGATGGGGGTGAGGGACACGAGGCTCCAGGGACAAACGCTGGGAGGGCAGAGGGATCCAGAGCATCCCGGGAATGCCAGGGATCAGAAATCCAGCCTGAGGGCACTTCTGTGTGCCCCAGCACGAGTGGCTGTCCCTGGGGAAGGGTCCCCACCAGCCTGTCCCCTCCCTGAGTGTCCCCACAGCTCCCTCGGGTCCCTCTCTGCTGTTTGGGGAAGCTCCAGGAGGCCTTGGATAGGAAAAGGGAAGCTTTTAACACAATGGAAATTTCTGTGGGATGGAAAGAACATTTCAGAGCTTCATTTTCCCCCTGCTTGGAGATGCCTGGGAGGTGTTTGGGGCATCAGGAGGATTTTTCCTGTCCTGTTTGGAAGCTCTGCATCCATCCCTGCTCTCCCACCGCCACTCACAGGCAATGACTGAAAGTTTCACCCTCCTAGAAGGCAGAATTTTCACATTCCTGCTATCTCCCAGGGTTTTATATTTTTTTAAGCAATAAACACTTGAAATATCCATAATGGGGAAAACTTTGTGCCCCTTCAGCTGTCCCTGGAAGCACCACACAAGTGTGTGAGAGAACAGGATCCAGGGAGAGCAGGGGCCAGGAAATGCTGGAATGGGCAGCTGTGACTTTCAGGAGAGGGGAAAAAAGAAATTTCAGAGCCTGGGAATGCTTTTTGTGGTCAGTGCTGCCAGCTGAATGCTCCACACTGCAATTTCCTGCCAGGAAAACTCCCGAGAGAAACTCCAGGCTGGGGATTTCACCCCGGGGCGTTCCTGGAGCCGCCCAGGGTGGATCCTCCCACGGAGCCCCCGAGGTGAGGAAACGCTGCTCCCTCTCTCCAGCACCAAATATAGCCGGGAATCAGGAGGCTGAAACATTCCGGGAGGAATTTCTGCAGGCACAAATCGCGTTCTCAACAACCTCCCCTCCCTCAGGCCGTGCGTGTGGAGCCGGCATCTGCGGGGATGAGGGCAGAGTGAGGAAAGAGGAATGCGAGGAATGGAAACTCAGCTGAGTGTGAAAGCAGGAACGATCCTTTCCTCTGGCTCCCAGGCCTCACGGAGCTGCCAGCTCTGCAGAGAAATCCCTTCCTGCAGGCCCCAGCTCCGTGCAGGCAGCTGGGGAGGGCTGGGAAAAGGGAGCCAGGGCAGGAGAGGGCACAGAGGGCAGGGACACATCCCAGGCTGCAGCCAGGACCCAGCCCTGCCACCCTGGCACGGGGGATTTGCTCCTAGCCCTGCCTTTTACCCCCTCTCCAGTGCAGCTGTTAAAATCTGGCAGCAAAAGGAAAATCAGCCTTTTCTCAAGTGCCCCCATCCCAGTTGGTGTGGACCTGGATCCTGTCAGCCTTTGAGCTGATCCAAGGGGAGCTGGAAAAGGAGGGAGCAAAGCTGGTGGCATTTCCCAGTTCACCCCAAACTGGGCAGGGAAATGGGACTGGGCTTCACTCCTTTGGCAAGGAAAGTCCTGTTTGATGGAAATGTGGCAAAAAACTTCCACCTAACATCCCTGAGGTGTCCCAGGCCAGCCTGGATGGGGCTTGGAGCACCCTGGGACAGGGGTGGCACTGGATGGGCTTTAATGTCCCTTCCAAGCACTCCCTGAGGCGCTGGGGGTGAGCAGTTCATGACAATTAATTTTTAATTAATAAAGCCATCAATAATTCACCAGGAGCAGCGCCGGGCTGACATTGCAGCCCCGCCGGCTGCTCCAGGGAATCAAAGAGCTCCCTCTTCCCTCTTCCCTCTTCCCTTTTCCCTCTTCCCTTTTCCCTTTTCCCTCTTCCCTCTTCCCTCTTCCCTTTTCCCTCTTCCCTCTTCCCTTTTCTCTTTTCCCTCTTCCCTCTTCCCTTTTCCCTCTTCCCTCTTCCCTTTTCCCTTTTCCCTTTTCCCTCTTCCCTTTTCCCTCTTCCCTCTTCCCTCTTCCCTTTTCTCTTTTCCCTCTTCCCTTTTCCCTTTTCCCTCTTCCCTCTTCCCTTTTCTCTTTTCCCTCTTCCCTCTTCCCTTTTCCCTCTTCCCTCTTCCCTTTTCTCTTTTCCCTCTTCCCTCTTCCCTTTTCCCTCTTCCCTCTTCCCTTTTCCCTTTTCCCTCTTCCCTCTTCCCTTTTCCCTCTTCCCTTTTCCCTCTTCCCTTTTCCCTTTTCCCTCTTCCCTCTTCCCTTTTCCCTTTTCCCTCTTCCCTTTTCCCTTTTCCCTTTTCCCTTTTCCCTCTTCCCTTTTCCCTCTTCCCTCTTCCCTTTTCCCTCTTTCCTTTTCCCTTTTCCTTTTCCCTTTTCCCTCTTCCCTTTTCCCTCTTCCCTTTTCCCTCTTCCCTTTTCCCTTTTCCCTCTTCCCTCTTCCCTTTTCCCTTTTCCCTCTTCCCTCTTCCCTTTTCCCTTTTCCTTTTCCCTCTTCCCTTTTCCTTCTTCCCTCTTCCCTTTTCCCTCTTCCCTTTTCCCTTTTCCCTTTTCCCTCTTCCCTCTTCCCTCTTCCCTTTTCCCTTTTCCCTCTTCCCTTTTCCCTCTTCCCTTTTCCCTCTTCCCTCTTCCCTTTTCCCTTTTCCCTCTTCCCTTTTCCCTTTTCCCTCTTCCCTCTTCCCTTTTCCTTTTCCCTTTTCCCTCTTCCCTCTTCCCTTTTCCTTTTCCCTTTTCCCTCTTCCCTTTTCCCTTTTCCCTCTTCCCTCTTCCCTTTTCCTTTTCCCTTTTCCCTCTTCCCTCTTCCCTTTTCCTTTTCCCTTTTCCCTCTTCCCTTTTCCCTCTTCCCTTTTCCCTCTTCCCTTTTCCCTTTTCCCTCTTCCCTTTTCCCTCTTCCCTTTTCCCTTTTCCTTTTCCCTGGCTGAGCTCTCATTAGGGCCCCCCTTGTGCCCGGCTGGAATTTCTGGCTGCTCCTGGCCGGGAATGACCGGGACAGCAGAGATGGGGACACACAAAGGGCCGGGCTCTGCTCCCTTTCCCTGCTCCCATCCGCCGGGATTATCCATGGGGAGCGGCTCCTGAGGATAAAGGGACAGACAAGGACCCGGGCTGGAGATTCCTGGTGGGTTTTTCCCGCTCTTACACCGAGGGTTTTTTTTTTCTCCTCACATTTCGGGATCGCTCCGGACACGTTCGGTTCCCGGAGTGGAAAGCAGAGCCTGGAATTTCTCTCCCTTCAGAAATCACGCGTTGCAGCACCCTTAAAACGCCACCTTCCAGCAGCCAGAGAGGGGGAAAAAAATGGGATATTCTCAGCGTTTTCCAGCAGCTGGGAAGGTTTCACCTCTGCCATCTACCGGCACCACCGCCAGAGGATGGCCCCGAGGCAGATCCTGCCTGCAATTGGGGATTCCACGAATTTTGGGAATTTGGGCACTCAAACTTTGCCGAGCTGCTCCCAGGTGGCAGCTGATGGCAGCAGGTGGGGACAGCTGACACCAATCGGTCCCGCTGCAGCTGTTCCCACAATTCCCGAGCTAAAAGGGGGAAATGGGTGTGAGGGAAGGTTTGGGAAGGGAATATTTGGGTGGGAAAGGAGCCTGGAGGCTGCAAAGAGCACAGAGGGTGGGAGTGCCTTTCATTGCCATCACAGGGGTTGGTCGGGAAGGCAACAGAGCAGAAAATCAAAGCCTTCTTTGAGCAGCAAACAAAATTAAAAATTTTAAAAAAAATTATCCATTTAAATATTTAAATTTAAAATTATCCATTTAATGAACCAGTGTTTGAATTTCATGTGTTTAATGGGTGTCTTCAACTTGGCTAAATCCTAGAACAATTCAACCTAGGCCAGGGGGAGAGATTTGAAGTTTCTTTTGCTTTCTAAAACCTGGAGATTGAGAGGCAGAAATGCCTTGGTTGATCAAAGCACTGGAATTGCTTTCAGAAATCACCTTTCCCTAAAGCTGAATGTGCAAACCTCGGAGCATTTCTGTCACAGAGCCTGAGTCAGAGACCTTGGCAAGCTGGAAAAATGCAGCTCCTCCAACCCCATCCCTCCCTTTCTCCTCAGATTCCCAAGAGAAAACAAATTTAAGAGCTCAGAATGTTTTGGGTTCTGGGCTAAGACAACACGAGCTTCAGTTGGTGTCTGCACATCAGCTATGGAAACCATGTCATTTTTATTGTGTGTGCAAACATGCACACAGTGGGAAAAGAATGCACTTTGTGTTCCCAGCCCTCTTCCCTGGAGGAGCAGAGTGGATGGAATTCCACCCCCAAGCCCTCCATGAGCTCACTCAGCTGGCCTGGCACGGGTGGGCCCAACCTCTGCCACCCCAGCTCTGCCTGGGATGGAAATTTCAGAAATAATCGGAGACTTCTCTGCTAAAGTTCAAAGGAAAAGCAAGAGGAATCCAGCAGGAGCAGGGCAGGGCTCCCTGGAGCTCAGGAGGTGCTGCTGGTGCTGCCCATGGCCAGGTAGAGGATTTCCTTGTGGAAGTTGGCCTGGGCATTCATCAGGTGGAACAGGTTCAGGAAGCTGCTGTCCTCCTCATCCCTCTCCCCTGGCAGGGCACAGAAAAGGAGGGAAATGAAGGAACTCACCCAGGTAAGGTCAGGAGCTGAATCCCCCTGAGGCAGAGCTCTCAGCAGAGGGAGGCAGCAGCCTGAGCCTTGTGCTGGGTTTATGCTCAGCCTAGGAGGAGCTGAGCCCAGCCTGAGCCTTGTGCTGGGTTTATCCTCAGCCCATGGGGAGCTGAGCTCAGCCTGAGCCTTGTGCTGGGTTTATCCTCAGCCCATGGGGAGCTGAGCTCAGCCTGAGCTTGTGCTGGGTTTATCCTCAACCCAGGAGGAGCTGAGCTCAGCCTGAGCTTGTGCTGGGTTTATGCTCAGCCCACAAGGAGCTGAGCTCAGCCTGAGCTTTGGGCTGGGTTTATCCTCAGCCCAGGGGGAGCTGAGCCTTGTGCTGGGTTTATGCTCAGCCCAGGAGGAGCTGAGCTCAGCCTGAGCTTTGTGCTGGGTTTATCCTCAGCCCATGGGGAGCTCAGCTCAGCCTGAGCTTGTGCTGGGTTTATCCTCAGCCCAGGGGGAGCTGAGCTCAGCCTGAGCTTGTGCTGGGTTTATCCTCAGCACAGGAGGAGCTGAGCTCAGCCTGAGCTTTGTGCTGGGTTTATCCTCAGCCCAGGAGGAGCTGAGCTCAGCCTGAGCTTGTGCTGGGTTTATCCTCAGCACAGGAGGAGCTGAGCTCAGCCTGAGCTTTGTGCTGGGTTTATCCTCAGCCCAGGAGGAGCTGAGCTCAGCCTGAGCCTTGTGCTGGGTTTATCCTCAGCCCAGGAGGAGCTGAGCTCAGCCTGAGCCTTGTGCTGGGTTTATCCTCAGCCCAGGAGGAGCTGAGCTCAGCCTGAGCCTTGTGCTGGGTTTATCCTCAGCCCAGGAGGAGCTGAGCTCAGCCTGAGCTTGTGCTGGGTTTATCCTCAGCCTCTGCCATGGCAGCCCAGGGGGAGCTGAGCTCAGCCTGAGCCTTGTGCTGGGTTTATCCTCAGCCCATGGCAGCACAGGAGGAGCTCTCCCAGAGTCCTTCCAGCCTGTCCTGGGACAGACAGGAACAATTGTGAGCCAGGACAAGGAGCTGAGCTGAGCTGAGCTGGGCTGAGCTGGGCTGGGCTGGGCTGAGCTGGGCTGGGCTGGGCTGGGCTGAGCTGGGCTGAGCTGAGCTGAGCTGAGCTGAGCTGGGTTAGGCTGAGCTCAGTGAGTGCTCCTCACTCCAGCTCAGCTCCACCATGGTCCCTGAGGCTCCAGCAGGGCTGAGCACAGGCAGCAGCTGCAGCTGGTGCAGCTTTAGGCTCAGCCCAAAAGGGACTTTGGGCCCAGCTTTGTGGTGGGACAGATTTTAAACCACTGTTGGTTTCACCCTCCATGGCACCAGGAATCCCTTAGCAATTTAGTAATTTAAAATAAGTTTAAAATTAATAATAGTAATAATAATAGTAATAATAATAGTAATAATAATAGTAATATTAATAGTAATAATAATAGTAATAGTAATAATAATAATAATAATAATATCAATTAATAATATCAATTAATAATAATATATCATAGTAAAATAAATATATAAGAAATAGTATAGTAATACAATAATATAAATTATTATTTATAATAATGAAAGAAATATAATCATTATATATAAAATAAATGTATAAGAATATATAATAAATTATATAATATTGTATGTATTATTATATATAATAATATTAATATTAATATTAATATTAATATTAATATTAATATTAATATTTAATAAATTTAAAATAAATATTTCTTCCCAACTATGACATTTGCTTGGTTATTTTTGTTGCCCAGAGCAGCTGGGGCTGCCCCTGCATCCCTGGAAGTTCCAAGGCCAGGTTGGACATTGGGGCTTGGAGCAGCCTGGGACAGTGGGAGGTGTCCCTGGATGAACTCCAAGGTCCCTTCCCACCCAAAGCATTCTGAAACCCTGAAATTTGTGATTTTGTGCTCTCCAGCCCTTACCAGCCAGCACTGCCTGCAGCATGTCCATGAGCATGCGGGCAAAGAAGTTCTCCAGGCACTGCAGGAAGTTGTTCCTCTCCCAGGGAGTGCTGAAAACCTTGCAGACCTTCTGCATCATCCTCACTGCCCAGTCCATGCAGTACAGGTCCTTCTCACACACCTGCAGGGCACAGGGAGGGTTTCATGCTCAGTTTTTCTGGTGCAAGATCAAATCTTAGCGTTCACTGCTGGTTAGAAGGACACAGAGGTTGTTCTTGCTGGCACAAAGGGAGTTCTGAACCTGTGGAAAACCTCCCTGCTGGGGAGACTCCTAAAAAATTCTGTGCCAGAATTGGGAGGTGAATGGAACTTTTGGGTTTTTTTGGGTCTTCTTTGCTGTTTATTTTTCTCTTATCAACAGTTCAGAACTCTGTCTACTCTCTCAGACTTAGGGTACAAAGAGGAGGCACCAAAAGCCACCAGACACACGGGCTCAAGGTCTTTTAAAGCTGTTTTGTCCAATTAACTCTTAGAACATATTTTATTTCTACCTTTCCACCAATAATTCTTTGTCTGTTCATGCAGGATCTGCATTGCAGCTCTTTCAGTGCCACCAGCACTGCAGAAAATGGAGCAGATGAAGAACAAGGAGGAGATGAGACAAGGCCCAAAATCCTCCATCTTGTCTTCCATCCACCTCCATACTAAAACCTCAAAACTCTGAGGTTTCCACCCTGTGATAAACTATCCTACTATCTATTTCACACACAGGAGGTTCCAATTCATGCCAAAGTCTTGGAAGTTTTCTCCATGGGTGAAGGTTAAAAGCAGTGTTCTCCTGGGGCTCAGCACTTCTCAGGACAGGCAGAGAAATATTCCCTGTGCCCTGGCTTCCAACATGACCCTTTTGCTGCTGGTGCTTCTGCTCCTCAGGGATGTGCTGGACAGGGAGCAGAGAGGGGGAAGAGCTTTTCTTACAGCAAAAAGAAAATACAGGTAATGAGGAAAAAAGTATAAATAAAAGATGAAAAATGGTTTTCAATCCCATAAATTAAAGACCAGAGCAAGGGCCTTGAGCAAGGGCTGCCCCAGACTGGGTTAGGTGGGATGTCTGCCTCAAATCTCCTTTCTGCTGCTGCTTGCCTTAAAATTGACTTTTTGCACCTTGCAATGGGGTGGTTTGGGTTCCATGGCACAGGGACCTGGAGGAGAGAGCAGCTCCCATCACAAGTGAAAATCAGAAACGCAGCTCCAGGCTGGGTTTATCCCTGCAGTGTGGGGGGAAAATTTTCAAATTGGAAATGTGGGGCAGAGAGGCTGAGCTGTACTCACCAGAACCATGAAGACCATGAGCCTGGCCAGCTCCACAGCTCTGCCATTCACAGCTTTGCTGGCCATGAAGGTGAAGCAGATGCTGTTCCCACTGAGGAGCAGCAGGCGAGCGTTGTTCTCCATCAGCCACTCCTGGGGAACCACTTCAGAGCGGGGGGAGAGAGGATTTCAGGCACCTGAAATTTCTAAAAATCCATTCCCATTGTGGGAAATGGATTTCTAGCAAATTCTCAGACCTTGACAGAAGCTTTACATGGTGTGTGTTTGGGTGTAAGCTTTGAGATAGAAATGTTAACTGAGAAATGCTCTAATAATGCTAAAATAAGATAGATATTGTTGGGAGAGAAATGGAACTAGAAAAAAATAAATAAGACCAGATATTTTAGAGAAATAGAACTATGAAAGGTGTATTGCACCAAGACCTACAAGGAGTAATTTTAGATAATCAGCTTTAAGATATTTACAATATAGTGTGACTAAAGCTGATAGGATAAAAAACATTTACAGTGTATTGTAATTAAAAAATAGCTTCTGATTGTGATGGCATGAATTATAACATCTGTATTGTCTCACCCTTCTCATAAAAGTTAAAATAGAATAAAAAGTTTTTAAACCACCTCTCAGTTACCCCATCTCTGGGTCAGAAAAGGGTAAAATCCAACAACCTCTGAGCAGTGAAATTGCACCAATAATCCCCACCAGGGATGGTCAGAGCTCTCCACACCAACTCTGGGACACAACCTCAGCCAAAACTCCCAGTGCAGCTGGTAAAAATGCTCAGGGGAATTTTGCCTGAGCAAATTCATGTTTGGACAATGTTCCCTGAATAATTCAAGGCAAGATTTGACTTTTAAAGCTTTGCATGGGTTCTTTTAAAGATTTCTCCATGGGGAAAGACAGCCTGGATGTATAAAACAAACTGGGTTTGTCTCAGCCCAGCCTGGCTCCACAGTGTGATGAGTTTCCCAGCTACTGAGAGGAATTTTGCAGCACACAGCTGGGGTGTGTGGAGGATTTGGATCCATAATCCAAAATTTGGAGGATGTGAGGTTCCATAATCCCAGGGATCCATGATAAAGGCAAAAACACACCTGACAGCTCATCCACAAGACTGATAACATCATCTGCTGTCCATTCTCTAGCTTCTGTACCATAGAGCAGCTTAATTGCATCAGCTAAACCCTTCAGGCTGCTCTCATCTGTTGGTCCTTCTATCATTTTCTGCCAGACCACGTGTCCTGGGGGAGAGATCAATCACAGCTCCTGGTAAGGGACACTTTTCAAACAAGGAAGGTGCTAAACTGAGCCTCACAGCCAAGGCAGAGGGGAGGAATTCAGGTGCTACCATCGAGGATTTGGGATTTTCCATCTGTCATTTCAGCAATTAAAGAAACTCAGGTTGAATAATTAAGTGAGAAAATGTGCTTTCCTTCAGGGAAATGGGTGCTTGGATGGATTTGAGTCAAGTCTCCCCAAGCAGGGGAGAAGAGAGGAGCAGAGGTGTAATTTAATTTCTTCATTGAATTGTAACTTTTACATGTGTGTTTGTGTGTATAATTTAGTTATTTCCTGTATGTTAGTGAGTGTTTTCTGTGTATAATTTATTTATTTCCTGTATGTTAGGGAGTGTTTTCTGTGTATAATTTATTTATTTCCTGTATGTTAGTGTTTTGTGTGTATAATTTAGTTATTTTTTGTATGTTAGTGTTTTCTGTGTATAATTTAGTTATTTCCTGTATGTTAGTGAGTGTTTTGTGTGTATAATTTATTTATTTCCTGTATGTTAGTGAGTGTTTTCTGTGTATAATTTAGTTATTTCCTGTATGTTAGTGAGTGTTTTGTGTGTATAATTTATTTATTTCCTGTATGTTAGTGAGTGTTTTCTGTGTATAATTTAGTTATTTCCTGTATGTTAGGGAGTGTTTTCTGTGTATAATTTAGTTATTTCCTGTATGTTAGTGTTTTGTGTGTATAATTTAGTTATTTCCTGTATGTTAGGGAGTGTTTTCTGTGTATAGTTATTTCCTGTATGTTAGGGAGTGTTTTCTGTGTATAGTTATTTCCTGTATGTTAGGGAGTGTTTTCTGTGTATAATTTCGTTATTTCCTGTATGTTAGTGTTTTGTGTGTATAATTTAGTTATTTCCTGTATGTTAGGGAGTGTTTTCTGTGTATAATTTATTTATTTTTTGTATGTTACTGTTTTGTGTGTATAATTTATTTATTTCCTGTATGTTAGGGAGTGTTTTGTGTGTATAATTTATTTATTTCCTGTTTGTTAGTGAGTGTTTTCTGTGTATAATTTAGTTATTTCCTGTATGTTAGGGAGTGTTTTGTGTGTATAATTTAGTTATTTTTTGTATGTTAGTGTTTTGTGTGTATAATTTAATTATTTCCTGTATGTTAGTGATGCCTGGCTGAGCAGAACAGTTTTTCCCAGGTAATGCAATGGTTCCAATGGGTTCAGATGCACAGAGGGCAGGTTCAGATTGGCTCTTGGGAATGAATTCCTTCCCTCCTTTCCTCGTGGGAGGATCCTCTGAGGGTAAACAAAAGTTGACTTAGGAACTGTTTAGTTCACATTGTAGCCTGTAGGTGTCTATGGTTTAAAAATATAAGCTCTGCATTTCTTTGGCATTTCCCTTTGGCTTTGAAACTCCAACTTTTCTATCCCTTGTGTCATGTAATACAGAAAAGAAATCTAGTTTAGTACTGAAACCATAATCACCTTTCTTAAACCAAGTAGTATCACAATTCAATATTTCAAGTGCTGCATACAGCATTCCACCAAATGTAACAAGTTAAACAGCAGCAGACATGCCCACCTTAGCAGAGATTTTTTTTTTAATGTATGGTGAGGGGCTGCAATGGATTTCCCAGGCTGCCCCATCCCTACAAGTGTCCCAAGCCAGGCTGGGCAGGGTTTGGAGCACCCCACGCTGCTCTGGGACAGTGGGAGCTGTCCCTGTCCCATCCCTGCAAGTGTCCCAAGCCAGGCTGGGCAGGGTTTGGAGCACCCAACGCTGCTTTGGGACAGTGGGAGGTGTCCCTGTCCCATTCCTGCAAGTGTCCCAAGCCAGGCTGGGCAGGGTTTGGAGCACCCCACGCTGCCTTGGGACAGTGGCAGGTGTCCCTGTCCCATCCCTGCAAGTGTCCCAAGCCAGGCTGGGCAGGGTTTGGAGCACCCCACGCTGCTTTGGGACAGTGGGAGCTGTCCCTGCCCCATTCCTGCAGGTGTCCCAGGCCAGGCTGGGCAGGGTTTGGAGCACCCCACGCTGCTCTGGGACAGTCGAGGTGTCCCTGCCCCATCCCTGCAAGTGTCCCAGGCTGGGCTGGGCAGGGTTTGGAGCACCCCACGCTGCTCTGGGACAGTCGAGGTGTCCCTGTCCCATCCCTACAAGTGTCCCAAGGCAGGCTGGGCTGGGCAGGGTTTGGAGCACCCCACGCTGCTCTGGGACAGTGGGAGCTGTCCCTGCCCATGGCAGGGCTGGCACCGGATGAGTTTAACATCCCTTCCACCCCAGCCCGTCCCACAACTCCACGATTCCAACACAATCCCATTATTTTGGCCTTTCCTGCCCGAAGATCTCCTCCCGGGGCCGCAGCCTTTGCTCACCATCGCGGGAGGACACGGGCCCGAAGATGATGTAGAGCAGGCGGGCCTGGTTCACCATGGGCCAGGGCTTGAGGATGCGGGTGAGCCAAAAGGCGGAGTCGCTGCGGCGGCTCCCGGGCGACAGCAGCACCCCCCGGCAGAACAGGCGGATCCGCAGCTCCAGCCGCCGGGCACTGCCTGCAACAGCGGCCGGGATCAGCGATTCCCCGGCCCCGAGCCCTGCAAAGCGCGGCTTCCTCGTAGGGAGGGAAAGGACGGGGTTTGGGACGTGTTTCATTCGGGGTTTGTCTCTTGGTTCCCGAGTTTGGGTGTTCTGGCCTGATTCAGGGTGGGATGGGTGGGTGCAGCCTCTGGGGTTTGGCAGTGGGAGGAAGGGAGATGTGGACGGAATGTTCCTCAGAAATGATCCAAACAATCCAAGCGATCCCTCGTTCTGAGGAGCAAGGGAACAAAATTTCTCCCTTGAGAAATTCTCAAGAGGAACGGCAGAAATGGGAGAATCTCTTGATAGGCATTCGTCCCATCGCTGCTGGGGTTCAGAAATGTTAAACCTCGCTTTTTACTGCTTCATTTTATTCCTCATTTTCATCTCTAACTCCTCAGCCATCCATTTCATCGCTGTAGGGTAGGAAAGATAAACCCACAATTGCTGTGCAGACACAAGTGAGGCTTTGGATTGATGATTTAGGGATGATTTAAAACCCCTACAGAGCTCTCCAGACAGATCATTTCAGAGACAAAAGCACTTTTATCTGCTCTTGGGGAGGAATTTCCATCAGGGAACCCCAGAACTGCTGGAGACGCCCACAGAACCCTCAGCAGAATCAGGAGACAAAACCACCCTGAATCCCACAACCAAGAGCCATTCCCAGGCTGGCATTTTTGGGGTTTTTGGGGCTGTGCTGGGCAATTTTTGGGGGGATTTTGGGGCTGCTGGCTGCTCGGAGTCACCTGGTTTGCTGCTGACCACCGTCTGCACCTTCCGGGCTAAATTGCTGAGCTCCCAGAGGAAGTTGAACACCCGGTGGCACTCGAGCTCATCCCAGCCCGCGGTCAGCATCTGCAGGGGAGGGAAAATGGGCTGAAAATGGGAGCTTGGGGAGAAATTCCCTTCCCAATGCCCGGGATCCCAGCGGGTAAAGGCGAATTTATCCTGCAGAGGCTCGGGAGAGGAGGGAAGGGTCATACCTGAGGGGAGGGGGTTAAGGATTTGTGCTGAAATTGGCCAGAAAATAAATTTTGTAACATGATTTGAAGCATTAGAAAGCAGGGAATCATCAGGTGCTTAAGGACTTGCACTAAAATTGGCCAGAAAAGAAATTTTATTACATGATTTGAAGCATTAGAAAGCAGAGATTCATCAGGTGGGGCTTAAGGATTTGTACTAAAATTGACCAGAAAATGAACTTTGTAATATGATTTGAAACATTAGAAAGCAGGGATTCATCAGGTGGTGCTTAAGGATTTATACTAAAATTGGCCAGAAAAGAAATTTTCTAACATGATTTGAACCATTAGAAAGCAGAGATTCATCGGGTGGTGCTTAAGGATTTGATACTAAAATTGGCCAGAAAATGAACTTTATTACATGATTTGAAGCATTAGAAAGAAACTTTCTAACATGTTTTGAACCATTAGAAAGCAGGGATTCATCAGGTGGTGCTTAAGGATTTGATACTAAAATTGGCCAGAAAATGAACTTTCTAAAGTGATTTGAAACATTAGAAAGCAGGGATTCATCAGGTGTTTAAGGATTTATACTAAAATTGGCCAGAAAAGAAATTTTATAACATGATTTGAAACACTAGAAAGCAGAGATTCATCAGGTGGTGCTTAAGGATTTGATACTAAAATTGGCCAGAAAATAAACTTTATAACATGATTTGAAGCATTAGAAAGAAATTTTCTAACATGATTTGAAACACTAGAAAGCAGATACATCAGGTGCTTAAGGATTTGTACTAAAATTGGCCAGAAAATGAACTTTCTAACATGATTTGAAGCATTAGAAAGGAACTTTCTAACATGATTTGAACCATTAGAAAGCAGATTCATCAGGTGCTTGAGGATTTGTACTAAAATTGACCAGAAAAGAAATTTTATAATATGATTTGAAGCATTAGAAAGAAATTTTATAACATGATTTGAAACACTAGAAAGCAGAGATTCATCAGGTGGAGCTTAAGGATTTGCACTAAAATTGGCCAGAAAATAAACTTTATTACATGATTTGAAGCATTAGAAAGCAGGGATTCATCAGGTGCTTAAGGATTTATACTAAAATTGGCCAGAAAAGAAATTTTCTAACATGATTTGAAACACTAGAAAGCAGAGATTCATCGGGTGCTTAAGGACTTGCACTAAAATTGGCCAGAAAATAAAATTTCTAACATTATTTGAAGCATTAGAAAGCAGAGATTCATCAGGTGGTGCTTGAGGATTTGTACTAAAATTGACCAGAAAAGAAATTTTATTACATGATTTGAAGCATTAGAAAGCAAGGATTCATCAGGTGCTTAAGGATTTGATATTAAAATTGGCCAGAAAATGAACTTTATTACATGATTTGAAGCATTTCTGCTCTTGACCTGTGAATTTGGGGCTGTGGGATAAAATTCTCCCTTTTCCCCCTGTTTTCTTAGGGAATAAATTGCTAATTTAAAAAAATCCAGACTGGCTGGGAGTGAAATCCAGGCCAAGAAATCCTCAGCAATTTCCAGCACCAGAAAGAAAACCCAGAGAACCGGATGAATAAACCCCAAACCACTCCAAAAAAAAATCAGTTTATACTTTAAAAAATCTTGCAAAACACAGGTTAATATAGAAAAAAAGCCTGAATTTTCTTTTTATTTTATTTTATTATTAATTTTACTTGCCTTGTGTGGATGGGGATACTGTACCTGTAAGAAAACCCCATAGCACTGCAGTCCCAGGCAGTGCAGGGGACTGGCACAACCATTCAGCTTGAAACAGGAAACCTGCAAGTGCAAACAGCAGCAGGTGGGTCCTAATTAGCAAATTTTTAATTGCAGTGATTGGAAATTCTCAATTCAGGGAGGTGCAGAAGGATTCCCTGGTTTTGGGAGTGATGGGAATGGTGTGGGAATGAGTTGTTGGGATGGGTTATGGCGGCTGATGTAGGGTTTGGGGTCAAAAGTGGGGGTGGGTAAAGGGTTTGGGGAGGAAAAAACCCATTTTCAGGGAGGAAAAATGCAATTTTCATGGAGGAAAACTCCCATTTCAGGGAGGGAAAATGCAATTTTCAGGGAGGAAAAAACCCTATTTTCAGGGAGCCAAACTCCCATTTTCAGGGAGGAAAAACCCTATTTTCAGGGAGCAAAAGCCCCAATTTTCAGGGAGGTAAACCCCCAATTTCAGGGAGCAAAAGCTCCAATTTTCAGGGTGGAAAAGCCCCAGTTTTCAGGGAGGAAAAACCCCAATTTTCAGGGAACCAAACTCCCATTTTCAGGGAGGAAAACCCCAATTTTCAGGGAACCAAACTCCCATTTTCAGGGAGGAAAAGCCCCAGTTTTCAGGGAGGAAACCCCCAATTTTCAGGGAGGAAAAAACCCAATTTTCAGGGAGGAAACCCCAAATTTTCAGGGAACCAAACTCCCATTTTCAGGAAGAACAACCCAATTTTCAGGGAGGAAAAACCCCCATTTTCAGGGAGAAAAAAACCCAATTTTCAGGAAGCCAAACTCCCATTTTCAGGGAGCAATAGCCCCAGTTTTCAGGGAGGAAAAAACCCAATTTTCCGGGAACCAAACCCCCATTTTCAGGGAGGAAAAGCCCAATTTTCAGGGAGGAAAACTCCTATTTCAGGGAGGAAAAGCCCAATTTTCAGGGAGGAAAAACCCCAATTTCAGGGAGGAAAACCCCCAATTTCAGAGAGGAAAAATGCAATTTTCAGGGAACCAAACTCCCTTTTCAGGGAGGAAAAGCCCAATTTTCAGGGAGCCAAACTCCAATTTTCAGGGAGCAAAAGCCCCAGTTTTCAGGGAGGAAAGCCTCCAATATTCAGGGAGCAAAACTCCCATTTCAGGGAGGAAAAATGCAATTTTCAGGGAGGAAAACCCCAATTTTCAGGGAACCAAACTCCCATTTTCAGGGAGGAAAAATGCAATTTTCAGGGAGGAAAAAACCCTATTTTCAGGGAGCCAAACTCCCATTTTCAGGGAGCAAAAGCCCAATTTTCAGGGAGGAAAACCTCCAATATTCAGGGAGCAAAACTGCCATTTCAGGGAGAAAAAATGCAATTTTCAGGGAGGAAAAACCCCACTTTTCAGGGAGCCAAACTCCCATTTTCAGGGAGGAAAAACCCAATTTTCAGGGAGGAAAAACTCAAATTTTCAGAGCGGAAAACCCCAATTTTCAGGGAGGAAAAGCCCCATTTTCAGGGAGGAAAGAGCCCAATTTTCAGGGAGGAAAAACTCCAATTTTATGGGAGAAAAAAACCCAATTTTCAGGGAGTAAAACCCCCATTTTCATGGAGGAAACTCCAATTTTCAGGGAGCCAAACTCCAATTTTCAGGGAGCAAAAGCCCCAATTTTCAGGGAGGAAACCCCCAATTTTCAGGGAGCAAAACTCCCATTTTCAGGGAGGAAACCCCCAGTTTTCAGGGAGGAAAAAACCCAAATTTCAGGGAGGAAAAAACCCAATTTCAGGGAGGAAAACCTCCAATATTCAGGGAGGAAAAATGCAATTTTCAGGGAGGAAAAACCCCAATTTTTAGGGAGCCAAACTCCCATTTCAGGGAGGAACAACCCAATTTTCAGGGAGGAAACCCCCAATTTTCAGGGAGCAAAAGCCCCAATTTTCCCTAAAATTCCATGGAATTTCCCCCTGGATGGAGCAAATAATTCGTGGATATCTCATGGATAATCCATGGAATTCCCCTTGGATGAAGCAAATAATTCATGGATAATTCATGGATCATCCATGGAATTTTGCCTTGGATGGAGCAAATAATCTGTGGATATCTCGTGGATAATCCATGGAATTGCCCCTTTGGATGGGCCAAATAATTCATGGGTATCTCATGGATAATCCATGGCATTTCCCCCTTGGATGGACCAAATAATTCATGGATATCTGGTGGATAATCCATGGAATTCCCCCCCTGGATGGAGCAAATAATCCATGGATATCTCATGGATAATCCATGGAATTTCCCTTTGGATGGAGCAAATAATTCATGGGTATCTGGTGGATAATCCATGAAATTCCCCCTTGGATGGGCCAAATAATTAATGGATATCTCGTGGATAATCCATGGAATTTCCCCCTTGAATGGAACAAATAATCCATGGATATCTGGTGGATAATCCATGGAATTCCCCTTTGGATGAAGCAAATAATTCATGGATAATTCATGGATAATCCATGGAATTTTGCCTTGGATGGAGCAAATAATTCATGGATATCCTGTGGATAATCCATGGAATTTCCCCCTTGGATGGACCAAATAATCCATGGATATCTCATGGATAATCCATGGAATTTTGCCTTGGATGAAGCAAATAATTCATGGATAATTCATGGATAATCCATGGAATTTTGCCTTGGATGGAGCAAATAATTCATGGATATCTCATGGATAATCCATGGAATCCCCCTTGGATGAAGCAAATAATTCATGGATATCTCGTGGATAATCCATGGAATTTCCCCCTTGGATGGAGCAAATAATCCATGGATATTTCATGGATAATCCATGGAATTTCCCCCTTGGATGGGCCAAATAATCCATGGATATCTGGTGGATAATCCATGGAATTCCCCCCCTGGATGGGCCAAATAATTTATGGATATCTCATGGATAATCCATGGAATTTCCCTTTGGATGGGCCAAATAATTCATGGATATCTGGTGGATAATCCATGGAATTTCCCCCTTGGATGGAGCAAATAATTCATGGATATCTCATGGATAATCCATGGAATTTCCCCCTGGATGGAGCAAATAATTCATGGATAATTCATGGATAATCCATGGAATTCCCCCTGGATGGGCCAAATAATCCATGGATATCTGGTGGATAATCCATGGAATTTCCCCCCGGATGGCCCAAATCTCTAATTTTCAGGATGTGTTCCAGCCAGGGCCTTGCTTTCCCAAGATATTTTAGGGTTTTCCAGCCTTTAGGATGTTTGGTTTCCTGGCCTATCCTAATACCAGGACTAAGCTGAGTTATCAGATTTAAGGAATTACAAGCATGGATGCTAAGAATACTTAGAGTTCTATAAAGAATAGAAAGAAAATATTTCTTATAATAATAAAACTAAATAATAATATTATATTCGATAATATAATAAAATAATAAATATATAATATAATAAAATATTTCTATAAATATAATACAAATTAAAATAATAATATTGTATAATAAAAACTAAATAATATAAAACTAAAAATAATATCATTATTAGTATTAAATTAATATTTAATAGCATGGAAATTTAAATAAAATTTTACTTTTTTTTTTCAATAACGAGATTTCATTTTAAAATTAATACAAGAAAATTTAATAGAATTTAATAACAAGAGTTTTATGGAAGGGATATAAAAGAAAAGGCCAAAAAAAATCCAAATTTGGCAGCAGACTTACCCCTGAGAGCACCTTGTGCACATATTTGAGCCTGTCCCTGGTGGGCAGCAGCAGGGTGCACCTCTTGAGCAGCAGCCCTGGGGCAACACAAACAGACACTGCTGGAGAATCCTCAGGAAAAAAAATGAAATAAATGAGAAAAAGCACAGAGAAAAAGCTGCTGTGAGGAGAAATGTGGGACCCCAGGTGGTTCTTCAAAATCTGGTTATTGGGTGGGTGTTAAATCAGTCACAGGGTGGGGGTGCGGTTATAGGCAGGTTTTCAGGGGGAAAAATCAAGTTTTTATAGGGAAAAAAGGCAATTTTCAGGGAGAGGAAACCTCAATTTTCAGGGAGAGGAAACCTCAATTTTCAGGGAGAGGAAACCCCAATTTTCAGGGAGGAAAAAGCCCAATTTTGAGGGAAGAAAATCCCAAATTTCAGGGAGGAAAAAGCCCCAAATTTCAGGGAGGAAAAGCCCAAATTTCAGGGAGGAAAAGCCCAAATTTTCAGGGAGGAAAAGCCCCAGTATTCAGTGAGGAAAAGCCCCAAATTTCAGGGAGGAAAAAGCCCCAAATTTCAGGGAGGAAAAGCCCAAATTTTCAGGGAGGAAAAGCCCCAGTATTCAGTGAGGAAAAGCCCCAATTTTCAGGGAGGAAAAAGCCCAAAGGTCAGAGAGAAAAAGCCAAAATTTTCAGGGAGGAACAACCCAATTTTCAGGGAGGAAAAGCCCAATTATGAGGGGGGGAAATCCCAAATTTTCAGGGAGGAAAAGCCAAAATTTTCAGAGAAGAAAAACCCCAATATTCAGGGAGGAAAAGCCTCAATTTTCAGGGAGGAAAAAGCCCAGTTTTGAGGGAGGAAAAAGCCCAATTTTGAGGGGGGAAAATCCCAAAATTTTCAGGGAGGAAAAGCCCCAATATTCAGGGAGGAAGAAGCCCAAAGGTCAGGGAGGAAAAGCCAAAATTTTCAGGGAGGAAAAGCCCAATATTCAGGTAGGAAAAGCCCCAGTATTCAGCAAGGAAAAGCCCCAATTTTCAGGAAGGAAAAAGCCCAGTTTTGAGAGGGGAAAATCCCCAATTTTCAGGGAGGAAACCCCAATTTTCAGGGAGAGGAAACCTCAATTTTCAGGGAGAGGAAACCCCAATTTTCAGGGAGGAAAAAGCCCAATTTTGAGGGGAAAATCCCAAATTTTCAGAGAGGAGAAACCCCAATATTCAGGGAGGAAAAGCCCAGTTTTCAGGGAGGAAAAAGCCCAAGGTTCAGGGAGAAAAAAAACCAATTTTCAGGGAGGAAAAACCCCAATATTCAGGGAGGAAGAAGCCCAAAGGTCAGGGAGGAAAAGCCAAAATTTTCAGGGAGAAAAAAAACCCAACTTTCAGGGAGGAAAAACCCCAATATTCAGGGAGGAAGAAGCCAAATTTTCAAGGAGGAAAAACCCCAATTTTCAGGGAGGAAAAGACCAAATTTTCAGGGAGAAAAAGCCCCAATATTCAGGGAGGAAGAAGCCCAAGGTTCAGGGAGAAAAAACCCCAATTTTCAGGGAGGAAAAGCCAAAGTTTTCAGGGAGGAAAAAGCCCAATTATGATGGGGGGAAATCCCAACATTTCAGGGAGGAAAAGCCCAGTTTTCAGAGAAGAAAAACCCCAATTTTCAGGGAGGAAAAAGCCCAATTTTGAGGGGGCAAAATCCCCAATTTTCAGGGAGGAAAAGCCCAGTTTTCCGGGAGGAAAAAGCCCAATTTTCCAGGAGGAAAAGCCCAATTTTCAGGGAGGAAAAGACCCAATATTCAGGGAAGAAAAAGCCCAGTTTTGAGGGGGGGAAAAGCCCAATTTTGAGGGGGGAAAATCCCAAATTTTCAGGGAGGAAAAGCCCAAATTTTCAGGGAGGAAAAGCCCCAATCTTCAGGGAGGAAAAAGCCCAAAGGTCAGAGAGGAAAAGCCAAAATTTTCAGGGAGGAACAACCCAATTTTCAGGGAGGAAAAGCCCCAATTTCAGGGAGGAAAAGCCCAATTATGAGGGGGGAAAATCCCAAATTTTCAGGGAGGAAAAGCCAAAATTTTCAGAGAAGAAAAACCCCAATATTCAGGGAGGAAAAGCCTCAATTTTCAGGGAGGAAAAAGCCCAGTTTTGAGGGAGGAAAAAGCCCAATTTTCAGGGAGAGGAAACCCCAATTTTCAGGGAGGAAAAAGCCCAATTATGAGGGGGGAAATCCCAAAATTTCAGGGAGGAAAAGCCAAAATTTTCAGGGAGGAAGAAGCCCAAGGTTCAGGGAGAAAAAAACCCAATTATGAGGGGGGGAAATCCCAACATTTCAGGGAGGAAAAGCCCAGTTTTCAGAGAAGAAAAAACCCAATTTTCAGGGAGGAAAAAGCCCAATTTTGAGGGGGCAAAATCCCCAATTTTCAGGGAGGAAAAGCCCAGTTTTCCGGGAGGAAAAAGCCCAATTTTCCAGGAGGAAAAGCCCAGTTTTCCGGGAGGAAAAAGCCCAATTTTCCAGGAGGAAAAGCCCAGTTTTCAGGGAGGAAAAAGCCCACTTTTCAGGGAGGAAAAGCTCCAATTTTCAGGGAGGAAAAGCCTCAATTTTTAGGGATGAAAAAGCCCACTTTTCAGGGAGGAAAAACTCCAATTTTCAGGGAGGAAAAACCCCAGCTTTGAGGGAGGAAAAGCCCAATTTTGAGGGAGGAAAAATCCCAAAGTTCAGGGAGGAAAAGCCCAATTTTCAAGGAGGAAAAGACACAATTTTGAGGGAGGAAAAACCCCAATACTCAGCGAGGAAAAGACCCATTTTTCAGGGAGAAAAAAACCACTTTTCAGGGAGGAAAAGCCCCAATTTTCAGGGAAGAAAAACCCAATTTTCAAGGAGGAAAGACCCCAATATTCAGGGAGGAAAAGCTCCAGTATTCAGCAAGGAAAAGCCAAAATTTTCAGGGAAGAAAAGCCCCAGTTTTCAGGGAGGAAAAACCCCCATTTTCAGGGAGGAAAAATCATTCTATATAAATATATAAAAATAAAAAAAAATAAATATTTTATTTTTATATCTATAAATAAATAAAATTAAAAAACATATATATAAAACATAAAACTTGTCTGTATATAACTATAGGCTAGTTATAGACATAACTAGCTGCACTTATAGGCAAAGTTGAAATTCCTTCATGTAAAACACAGCAGAGAGGGAAATTTATTCTCCTGTTTGGGATGTCAGAGTCTGGAGCTCATTATCCTGAGGAACAGCTGGTTGTTGAGCAGAATTTCTTCTACATTCATGACAGAAACTGGGTTAACAGCTTGCACTCCTTTCACCAGAATAAAAAAAATATATATATACTGCTTGTTAATTAATCAAGGCATCCTCTGAAAAGCTTGGAATTTCCCAGGGGAAAGAAACAACAAAAAAATAAAAATTTTTCTCCAGATTTAAAAAAAAAATCCTAAAAACTCAATTTTATTTATTTGTTTTTTTCCCCAAGGTCAGAAAGGATTTGCTGTGGTTCTGAAGTGAGTCTTGCCTGGCTCAGAGGTGTCAGCATTCCAACCCTCATTTATTCATCAGCCTCAGATCTGCCCCAAAACTCAGCCAAATCCATTTTTTATGGGCTAGGTCAGCTTTGGACAGCACTGCCTGAGGAGCAGCTGACCCAGGGACACCCAAAAGAGGCAGGAAAAACAGGATTTTTGCCAAAAATCAGATATTTTGGGATGCCCAGAAGAGGCAGGAAAAACAGATTTTTTTCCAAAAATCAGAAATTTTGAGATGCCCAGAGAAGGCAGGACATGCAGAATTTTTTCCATAAATCAGACATTTTGGGACACCCAGAAGAGGCAGGAAAAACAGGATTTTTTTTCCATAAAACAAAAATTTTGGGATGCCCAAAAGAGGCAGAACAAGCAGGACTTCTTCCATAAAACAAAAATTTTGGAACACCCAGAGAAGGCAGGAAAACCAGGATTTTTTTCCCATAACTCAGAAATGTTGGGACACCCAGAAGAGGCAGGAAAAACAGGATTTTTTTTCCAAAAATCAGAAATTTTGAGACACCCAGAGAAGGCAGGACAAGCAGGGGTTTTTCCCTAACTCAGAGGCTTGGGGACACCCAGAAGAGGCAGGAAAAACAGGATTTTTTTCCAAAAATCAGAAATTTTGGGACACCCAGAAGAGGCAGGAAAAACAGGATTTTTTTTTCCACAAAACAAAAATTTTGGGACACCCAGAAGAGGCAGGAAACACAGAATTTTTCCCAAAAATCAGAAATTTTGAGATGCCCAGAGAAGGGGGGACACACAGGGTTTTTTCCATAAATCAGAAACTTTGGGACACCCAGAAGAGGCAGGAAAAACAGGAATTTTTTTCCATAAACCAGAAATTTTGGGACACCCAGAAGAGGCAGGAAACAGGAATTTTTTTCCATAACTCAGAAATGTTGGGACACCCAGAGAAGGCAGGACAAGCAGGGTTTTTTCCCTAACTCAGAGGCTTTGGGACACCCAGAAGAGGCAGGAAAAACAGGATTTTTTTCCAAAAATCAGAAATTTTGAGATGCCCAGAGAAGGGGGGACACACAGGCTTTTTTCCATAAATCAGAAACTTTGGGATGCCCAGAAGAGGCAGGAAAAACAGGATTTTTTTCCCATAAATCAGAAATTTTGGGACACCCAGAAGAAGCAGGAAAAACAGGATTTTTTTCCATAAAACAAAAATTTTGGGATGCACAGAGGGGCAGGAAAAACAGGATTTTTTTCCCATAAATCAGAAATTTTGGGACACCCAGAAGAGGCAGGAAAAACAGGATTTTTTCCATAACTCAGAAATTTTGGGACACCCAGAGAAGGGGGGGACACACAGGGTTTTTTCCATAAATCAGAAACTTTGGGATGGCCAGAGAAGGCAGGAAAAACAGGATTTTTTTCCCATATATCACAAATTTTGGGACACCCAGAAGAGGCAAGAAACACTGGACTTTTTTTCCCTAAATCAGAAATGTTGGGACACCCAGAAGAGGCAGGAAAAACAGATTTTTTTCCAAAAATCAGAAATTTTGAGATGCCCAGAGAAGGGGGGACACACAGAATTTTTTCCATAAATCAGAAACTTTGGGATGCCCAGAAGAGGCAGGAAAAACAGGAATTTTTCCATAAAACAAAAATTTTGGGATGCCCAGAAGAGGCAGGAAACAGGAATTTTTTTCCATAACTCAGGAATGTTGGGACACCCAGAGAAGGCAGGACAAGCAGGGTTTTTTCCCTAACTCAGAGGCTTTGGGACACCCAGAAGAGGCAGGAAAAACAGGATTTTTTTCCATAAATCAGAAATTTTAGGACACCCAGAAGAGGCAGGAAACACTGGACTTTTTTTCCATAAATCAGAAATGTTGGGACACCCAGAAGAGGCACGAAAAACAGGACTTTTTTTCCATAAAACAAAAATTTTGGGACACCCAGAAAAGGCAGGAAAACCAGGATTTTTTTTTTCCATAAACCAAAAATTTTGGGCCACCTAAAAGAGGCAGGAAAACCAGGATTTTTTCCCCATAACTCAGAAATTTTGGGACACTCAGAAGAGGCAGGAAAACCAGGATTTTTGTCCCCATAACTCAGAAATGTTGGGACACCCAGAAGAGGCAGGAAAAACAGGATTTTTTTTTCCATAAACCAAAAATTTTGGGACACCCAGAGAAGGCAGGACATGCAGAATTTTTTCCATAAACCAAAAATTTTGGGACACCCAGAGAAGGCAGGACATGCAGAATTTTTTCCATAAACCAGAAATTTTGGGACACCCAGAAGAGGCAAGAACACCCATGAATTTTTTTCCATAACTCAGAAATTCTTCCAGAATTCTCCCAGGCAATTCCTCCGTGCTGGAAGGGATCCTTTTACTCCTTTATTTTTATTTTTTTTGACCACACCCTCCACACTCTCCCATTCACCCACACGGCAGGAGCACCCTTTGGAGGCAGTTTTGCTCTCACCTAGAGCTCGGTAGTGCTCCAGGATGGAGGCTCCGTCTCTCCTGGCCGGGAGCTCCTGGTGGAAATCCTGCAGCAGCAGCCGGCGGCTCCCGGAGGAGGTGGAGATGTAATGAACGAGGCGGCCGCTGATGGTTTTGGACACCATGCTCAGGGTGCTGATGTCCTTCACTGCAAAAACAAGGCCAGGATGCTCCTAAATCCCCTCAGCACAGAGCCCGGGATGCTCCTAAATCCCCTCAGCACAAAGCCCAAGATGCTCCTAAATCCCCTCAGCACAAAGTGCAGAACGCTCCTGAATCTCCTCAGTACAAAGCTCAGGACGCTCCTAAAAAGCCCAGAACGCTCCTAAATCCCCTCAGCACAAAGCCCAAGATGCTCCTAAATCCCCTCAGCACAAAGCCCGGGATGCTCCTAAATCCCCTCAGCACAAAGCCCAGAACGCTCCTAAATCCCCTCAGCTCAAAGCTCAGGATGCTCCTAAATCCCTGAGCGCAAAGCCCGGGATGCTCCTGAATCCCCTCAGCACAAAGCCCAAGATGCTCCTAAATCCCCTCAGCACAAAGCCCAAGATGCTCCTAAATCCCCTGAGCACAAAGCTCAGGATGCTCCTGAATCCCCTCAGCACAAAGCCCGGGATGCTCCTAAATCCCCTCAGCACAAAGTGCAGAACGCTCCTGAATCCCCTGAGCACAAAGCCCAAGATGCTCCTAAATCCCCTCAGCACAAAGCCCAGGACGCTCCTGAATCCCCTCAGCACAAAGCCCAGGATGCTCCTAAATCCCCTCAGCACAATGCCCAGGACGCTCCTAAATCCCCTGAGCGCAAAGCTCAGGATGCTCCTAAATCCCCTCAGCACAAAGCCCAGGACGCTCCTAAATCCCCTCAGCACAAAGCCCAGAACGCTCCTGAATCCCCTCAGCACAAAGTGCAGAACGCTCCTGAATCCCCTCAGCACAAAGCCCAAGATGCTCCTAAATCCCCTCAGCACAAAGCTCAGGATGCTCCTAAATCCCCTCAGCACAAAGCTCAGGATGCTCCTGAATCCCCTGAGCACAAAGCCCAAGATGCTCCTGAATCCCCTCAGCACAAAGCCCAGGACGCTCCTGAATCCCCTCAGCACAAAGCCCAGGATGCTCCTGAATCCCCTGAGCACAAAGCCCAAGATGCTCCTAAATCCCCTCAGCTCAAAGCCCACGATGCTCCTGAATCCCCTCAGCGCAAAGCCCAGGACGCTCCTAAATCCCCTCAGCACAAAGCCCAGGACGCTCCTAAATCCCCTCAGCACAAAGCCCAGGATGCTCCTAAAAAGCCCAGAACGCTCCTAAATCCCCTCAGCACAAAGCCCAGAACGCTCCTAAATCCCCTCAGCACAAAGCCCAGGACGCTCCTGAATCCCCTCAGCACAAAGCCCAAGATGCTCCTGAATCCCCTCAGCACAAAGCCCAGGATGCTCCTAAATCCCCTCAGCACAAAGCCCAGAACGCTCCTGAATCCCCTCAGCACAAAGCCCAAGATGCTCCTAAATCCCCTCAGCACAAAGCTCAGGACGCTCCTAAATCCCCTCAGCACAAAGCCCAGAACGCTCCTAAATCCCCTCAGCACAAAGCCCAGGACGCTCCTAAATCCCCTCAGCACAAAGCCCAGGATGCTCCTGAATCCCCTCAGCACAAAGCCCAGGATGCTCCTAAAAAGCCCAGAACGCTCCTAAATCCCCTCAGCACAAAGCCCAGGATGCTCCTGAATCCCCTCAGCACAAAGCCCAGGATGCTCCTGAATCCCCTCAGCACAAAGCCCAGGATGCTCCTAAATCCCCTCAGCACAAAGCCCAGGATGCTCCTGAATCCCCTCAGCACAAAGCCCAGGATCCTCCTAAATCCCCTCAGCACAAAGCCCAGAACGCTCCTAAATCCCCTCAGCACAAAGCCCGGGACGCTCCTAAATCCCCTCAGCACAAAGCCCAAGATGCTCCTGAATCCCCTCAGCTCAAAGCCCAAGATGCTCCTGAATCCCCTCAGCACAAAGCCCAGGACGCTCCTGAATCCCCTCAGCACAAAGCCCAGGACGCTCCTGAATCCCCTCAGCACAAAGCCCAGGACGCTCCTAAATCCCCTCAGCACAAAGCCCAGGATGCTCCTAAAAAGCCCAGAACGCTCCTGAATCCCCTCAGCACAAAGCCCAGGACGCTCCTGAATCCCCTCAGCACAAAGCCCAGGACGCTCCTGAATCCCCTCAGCACAAAGCCCAAGATGCTCCTGAATCCCCTCAGCACAAAGCCCAGAACGCTCCTGAATCCCCTCAGCACAAAGCCCAAGATGCTCCTAAATCCCCTCAGCACAAAGTGCAGAACGCTCCTAAATCCCCTCAGCACAAAGTGCAGAACGCTCCTAAATCCCCTCAGCACAAAGCCCAAGATGCTCCTAAATCCCCTCAGCACAAAGCTCAGGACGTTCCTAAATCCCCTCAGCACAAAGCCCAGGACGTTCCTAAATCCCCTCAGCACAAAGGCCAAGATGCTCCTAAATCCCCTCAGCACAGAGCCCAGGATGCTCCTGAATCCCCTCAGCACAGAGCCCAGGATGCTCCTGAATCCCCTCAGCACAAAGCCCAGGATGCTCCTAAATCCCCTCAGCACAGAGCCCAGGATGCTCCTGAATCCCCTCAGCACAAAGCCCAGGACGCTCCTCAATCCCCTCAGCACAAAGCCCGGGATGCTCCTAAATCCCCTCAGCACAAAGCCCAGGACGCTCCTAAATCCCCTCAGCACGGGGAAATGCTGCTCGCCAGTCAATGACTCCTTCTGGTTTGAAAACAGCACTGAGTGTTTCCTTCTGGCTTCAAAAGAACGAGGAAAAGAAATGAGATTTATAAATTAAATTGATTAATGCTGGTCTGCTTTGCCAGCAAGGTGGAATAATTAGAAACTGCCAGATCTAAGGAGTGATTTTCACATTTGATAGGCAGAAAAGCAAAGTTCAAATAGCTTGTTAAATATATATTGTTCAAATCTCATTGCAATTTGGTCAGTTGTATTTTCAATCCTTAAAAAGGTGAAAATTCAGAGTCGAAGCCCTATAATATTATTTTAACCACTTCAAAGTGACAATATTTAAAATAATAACTCAAACCTATACACGGGTATTTGCAGCTGTCGCTGTTTCTGCTGGGGCCCTCACCTGACAGATAATTCAGCACCATTTGGAAGATCTCCAAGGGAAGGCTTTGGAAATGCCCCAGCGCTGACGGAGCCGGGCAATCCCTGCCCGGCCTGGGGCCCGAGCGGCGGCGGCTCCGCCTCTGCCTCGGCCCGGGCACCGAGGCGCGGCCGCCCCCCGCGCTCGAGGTCATTGTGCCCGCGCTCCCGTGCACCCAACCTGGAGAAAAACAACAAAAAATAGATTAAAGTCTGATTTTCTGAGGAGGAAAAGGCTCCCAGAAGGAGGAAATGACTCCCTTGGAGTGTGCGTGTGTGGGGGATGAACTGCTTGGATTGAGTGAAAGCAATTTGTTAAATAACTTTGAGTACATAAAGAATGTGTTCTAAATTATTATTATTATTATTATTATTATTATTATTATTATTATTATTATTATTATTATTATTATTATTATTATCATTATTATCATTATCATTATCATTATTATTATTATCATCATTATCATTATTATCATTATTATCATTATTATCATTATCATTATCATTATCATTATCATTATTATTACTATTATTATTATCATTATCATTATCATTAATTTATTATTATTATCATTATCATTAATTTATTTTTATTAATAATAATAATAATTTAGAGTTATTATAATCTATAATGAGAATAAGAAATCTATAAAAATAAATAAATAATTTTATATATTCTATAATATAATTATTATGAAATATTGTTTACAATACAATATATATTTATAATACATCTTATATAATGTATATAAAATATATATTATATAATATATATTGTTTACAATATAATATATATTTATAATATATATTACATAATGTGTATAAAATATATATTATATAATATATATTGTTTACAATATAATATATATTTATAATACATATTACATAATGTATATAAAATATATATTATATAATATATATTGTTTACAATATATATTTATAATATATATTACATAATGTATATAAAATATATATTATATAATATATATCATTATACTATTCTATAGTATACTATAGTATAGAACAGTACAATAATATTTAATATAATATATATAAAATATATATTATATAATATATATTGTTTACAATATAATATATATTTATAATATATATTACCTAATGTGTATAAAATATATATTATATAATATATATCATTATACTATTCTACAGTATACTATAGTATAGAATAGTAGAATAATATTTAATATAATATTTAGTATATAAATAATAAATAAATTTACATTTAATATTATAACTAATATTAAATATATCATCATGATTCATAATCATTTATAATAAAAATTTATTGTGCTGAAATGTAAATATTGTCTGGGGAAATTGAGGGTTCAGCTGATTTTGGGGTGAGGAAGAGACAAAAGCACTGAGGGCACAGAAAGTGAAGGAAAAGCTCTGGAAGGGAATTTTTAGGGAATTCCATGTGAGGCTACAAGCTACAGTAATTACCAACATCACTTTGCTTTGGCACACTAATTATTCAACAGAACCCCAAAATTCCAGGGCTGTTATTGAAAGGATGATCCCTGTTCCTTTAGAGTGATAATTCCTGATTGTGCAGGGCCAAAGCAAAGATTAAAAGCACCAAAAGTGATGCTTCAAACCCTTCGTTTCCTGCAGCACCGAGTTGGTGCAAGGCTTAATTTAATCTCATGTATAAAAATATATAATGTGAAAAGAATTATGGACATGACATAAAAATAAATTACGCAGCGTTGCCCTGAGAAAATGTCAGTGTTTTTCCAAAATCATGAGGAGCTGCAATGAGCTCGGAAAGGATCAATAAATCAGATTTTTTGCTTCAGCTCCTGGGTTTTGAGTGTCTGGAACAGCCACACTTCACAATTCAGGCATTGCTGTGCCTTGAATTCCTGTTCTAGCAGAGATTTTTCACCCTGGTCCCTGATTCCAGCAGCTGAGGCTCTGTGGGCACTGCCAAGTGCTGGGGGTGATTCCAGGAAAATTCTCCCTGAGAAGGGCCCCCATTGTTCCCGGGATTAAAAATGTCCAAAATTCCAGACAACAAACTCCAAACATCCTCCCTGTTTATTATCAAACAGCCCCAGCCAGACTCTGATATCCCACAGAGGGGAAATGACCACAATGGGGGCTCTGTTCGTGCAGAGAAATGGGAGAATTTGGGGAATTTTGGATCTGGGGAAATCGGAAATTGGATGTTTAAGGGATTTTTAATGTCATTTGGAACGTTTTTAATTTGGCTGTGGGATATTTCTGGCTTGCTAAAGCGGCAGAAAACTTGCACAGAGCTTGGGAGGAAATGTGACTGCTGCTAAAATTAGTGGGACTAGGATTTTAGGAGGGAAAGTTGATAAAACACCTTGAAGAAAAATCATCCATAAATAAAATGATATTAAAAAAATCTTATCTTTTCAATGCAAGGATTTTTACACACAGAATTGTGGATTCCATATAAATTCCTTCTGTGCCACATAAAAATCAACCCATTCCCTCTTTATGACCAGGCACCACTAAACTTGGTTAAATCTGGTGCAGATTTCTGATCCAGGCTTTAGAAATAAAGTTGCAATTCTAAAATACTTTCTTCTCTTCCCACTCTCCTTTCTGCCTGGAGCTGGGGGGATTTGTGGGATCTTTCAGTGATTTTTTTTTTAATCTTACCTTGGCTCTCCAGTTGTGGAAGGAAAAAAATACTTTGCCACCAGCGAGGTATTTGGCAAGGATTTGTCTAATATTTGTCTGTTTCTGTCCAATCTGGTCAAAGTTAAATCGATTATCACTGTTTTAATGCGGAACAGAGCTCGATAAAATTAGTGTAAATAAAAACGAGTGCAAACAGCCACTTTTAAAGCCTTTTCTGAAAGCTCCTGTTTGCTTCCTCTTTGACTGAATGTGAGTTTTTTTATTTCTTAGGGAGTTGAGCCAGAGCGGGGCAATGGGCTGTGCATCTCCATCTGCTGCTGGGACACCAGTGTTTGGAGAACTGCTTAATCCACACTGGAAATTGAAAGGTAAACGTTAAATATTTAACAAGCTAAACTCATAATATTAGCTAAGAAGGGTCATCTTATTTGGGGCTATAAACTAATTTGTTTACAAGGCAGAAAGCATCAACTTCCACCCATGTTGCTCCTTAAGCAGTTGCTAAACTCCTGCTAATGGATGCAATTTAGGCCTGATATTTCTCGGAGCCCTGTGTTAGCATTTGGCAAACATTTATTGCAAAAAAGGTGTTTACTCTGGAGATTGGTTTGGGATGTTTCCCTTTCCCTTCCTGATCACCAGGAGCATAAAACCAATGGCTTTGAATATTAACCCCATGGGGGTTTTCATTTGTTTTTCCTGATTTTCTCCTGTCTTTTGTGGTATAAAAAGGAAATAAAATAGAGTGGAAGAAAATAAAAGTCAATAAAATAATAATTTTCAAGTAGAAGCTGAAGCGGGGGATGACAAACCTTAGAGCACTGAGTGCACCCATGGAGTTACCTTGTTACCCTTAACCTACACTGAAAATTTTTGTTTAAAAAAAGTGGTTTTATTTACGATAAAGGCTCTGTGCAAGACTGATTGTGCAAATCGGTCCCAAAACCTCCTAAATTGGTGAATAATGTGAGTATAAAGCAGAGCTGAGGGTTCCTGGCCTTGCTGATGGTGGCCAGGTTGTGGTGTGAGGGGACTGGCTCCCAACAGGGGAGGAAAACACTAAGAATGGTCCCTTTTCCCCTCACTTCAGCCTGGATTTGCTCCTCAAGCTTCAATATTTGATGAATTTTGTTATTCTGGGTTATTTTTGGCCTTTTGCCTGTGGTTTTGGGTCAGATTTGGACGGGCTACGACCTTTAGGCCAAAGGATGGGCCAAGCTGTGTCCTCCGCCATGACCCCTCTCCCCCAAGCTACCAAACTTTGTGGCTAAAGGGCTGAAATGGGGGATCTGCACCCCAAAACCTACAGAAAATTAACAGAGGATGTCTCACAGTTGATGATACTCACACAAAACACTTTTTCAGCTGTTTTTTACCTCACGGAAACCCCCTCTCCACAAACACCCCCGGCCGGGCGCCCACAGCAAGCTCTGAGGGAGCAGCCGGGGATGGGGGTGTGGGGGTCACCGAACCCCGTGTCCCTGAGGGGGAAAGAAACCTCAAACCTCCATTTTTTAAATTATTATTATTTAAATCCAACTCTTCAAAGCCTTATTTCAGCCAAATGTTGCAACCTATTGGGGTTAAAAGGGGTTATGGTCCCAGGAGCAGAGGCGGGTGTGTACAGGCAGCACAGCTGTGTTTGGGAAGAAATGTTGGCAAATATTTAAAAACCAACGCGGCAAGTTTCGATTTGATAGCTGCCAACGTGGCCACAGAGACGTTGGAGGGAGGAAACGATCACGGACAACAACAGCGCGCCTCTCCAGCGGTGTTTCGTTCGTGTTATTGGCAACTTTTTGCCCTTTTTTGGGTGAATTTATGCGAATTTTGGCTAATAACGATTTTTCCCGCCTTTTTGCCCGCGGCCCTTTCGGCGCGCGGGGGAGTGGGGGGGAAGGGGGCGGGGCGCGAGCGGCTCGCGCGCGGCTTTTCCCGCCCGCGCTGTCCCCGCCCTCCTAATGAATATTTAAATATAACCACGCCCCCTCTTCACCATAACGGGAAGGATTCGTCGCCTGTTCGGCCACGCCCCCTTAATGAATAATCAATGAGGGAGCTGATGTGCTTTGGCGGGAGGGTCCGGCCGAGCGAGGGGACATCGGGGGTTCCAGGGGTGACCTGGTGGCCTCGGGGCTGGCCCGGCCTCACGGGGTGGGGTGGGGTGGGGTAGGTGTGGGCGTGTCCCGGGGCGGGGAGGCCCAGGTGTGTGGGGTGCCACAGGTGTGGGGTAGGGCAGGGTTGGGGCGCCACAGGTGTGGGGTACCTTGGATGTGGGGTACAGCAGGTGTGGGGTGCACAGGTGTGGGGTACCTTGGACGTGGGGTACAGCAATTGTGGGGTGCACAGGTGTGGGGTACCTTGGATGTGGGGTACAGCAGGTGTGGGGTAGGGCAGGGAAGAGGTGTCACAGGTGTGGGGTACCTTGGCTGTGGGGTTCATCAGGGATGGGTTACCTTGGACGTGGAGTTCCACAGGGAGGGGGTCCCACAGGTGTGGGGTGCCTTGGTTGTGG